CCTCGTGTCCACTAAGAACAGTACTTCTTGCTTTTTAATCATGCCAATTAATTGTAAAGTGTGACCTTCCATAATTCCTGTCAATGCATGTAGAGAAATGAGGACAGTATCATCATGAAGTAATGCTAGGCTTCTTTCAATAACTGCATCATCACTACACTCCCCAATATCATCCTCTCCCTCAGATTTCATTTCTTCTTGGGCTGAGAGGCATTCAACTTACCCCACACTTTGCAATGTAATTTATGGTTCTTATCCCACTTTTCAGCGCAAAATCTACCTAACCTTTTAGAATCTGTTGTGGGAAGCACTGTGTGACTGAGTTTGCTGCAAATGTGTAATAGGTTGCCTTTTGTTGTAGCTGAGTACATGGCCAAATGCTTAACTTGTCAGAAATCCAAAACGGAGCATCAACGTATGCCGAGAGAGCTACAACCACTGGAAATTCCTAAGTGGAAGTGGGATGATATCTCCATGGATTTCAGTTAGGATTGCTGACGACCAAGCAGAATCATGATGCGATATGGATGATCATGGATAGACTAACCAAGACTGCTCATTTCCTTCTAGTCAACATGAAATACAAGATGGAAAGGCTAGCAGAACTGTATATCAAGGAGATAGTTAGGCTACATGGAGTACCTTCGAGCATCGTGTCTGATCGAGATCCTAAGTTCACTTCTAAATTTTAGGAGAGTTTACAAAGATCGTTGGGAACTAAGTTGAAACTTAGTTCAGCATATCATCCTTAGATCGATGGATAAACAGAGCGAACTATCCAAACCCTTGAAGATTTGTTACGAGCATCCGTGATGAAGCAGCAAGAAACGTGGGAAGAATGCCTACCTTTGGTAGAGTTCACCTATAACAACAGCTATCACGCTAGCATCGGGATGGCACCATACGCGGTATTGTATGGGAGGAAATGCAAAACACCATTATGTTGGTACGAGTTTGGAGAAACAGTTCTGTATACACCCGACTTAGTTCAAAGCCAGAACGATCAGATCAAGATGATAGAGAAAAATATCAAGGTTTCTCAAGACAGATAGAAGAGTTATTATGATAACCAGAGGTAATCGTTAGAATTACAAGTAGGAGATCACATGTTCCTGAGAGTCTCACTCATTACTGGAATTGGGAGAGCATTGAAATCTCAAAAATTATCTCCCAAATTCATTGGATTATTTGAAATTTTGAGTAGACTTGGTCCTGTAGCATATCAAATTGCACTACCTCTAAATCTGTCTAATTTAGATCCAGTCTTCCATGTGTCTTAACTCAGAAAATACATCCCAGATCTATCTCATGTAATCGAACTTGACCCTGTCCAAGTTTGAGAAAATCTCTCTTATGATGTATTTCCAGTGAAGATTGCTAATCGACGAGTCAAGCAGTTAAGGGGCAAAGAAATATCTCTAGGAAAAGTGATATGGAGTACAAGCGACGAAGGAATGCCACTTGGGAACCTAAGGACAAGATAAAGGAATCCTATCCCCATCTCTTTCTTGATCAATCAAGTTTGGGGACGAAATTCCTAACAAGGTAAGAGAATTGTAACACCCTCTTTTCATTGATATTAAATATCATTAGGATGTGTTAGGAGTAAATTGAGGAGAGTTTTAGATGAGGATCTCGCTCAAGCAAGAGGAATCTCGTTCAAGCGAGACTGAGCGCCCAAAAATATCTGGTTTCAGAGCAATCTCGCTCAAGCGAGATAGGATAGAATTAGTCCAACTGTCACCTCGCTAAGACGATGGAGATCTCACTCAGGCAAGATGGAGATATCACCCAGGCGAGTTGCGCCGTCCAGGCGAACAAGAGAAATCTCACCCTCTCTAGTCGCCATCTCGCTCAGGCGAGATGGAGCTCACTCAAGCGAGCATACTAGAAAAACATCGAGGAAACCATTGTCTGCATATCTCGCTCAGGCGAGGGATCCGTCACTCAAGCGAGATGTCATCACTCAAGCAAGTTGTTCGTCGCTTGAGTAAGATCGTGCGGGGCTGAGGGGTATTTAAGAGATTTTCAGCATGAAAATTTATTTCATTTCTTCAACTCACGTACCTCTCTCACATTCTTTGAATTCTCTCTTTCCTATCACAGATAAAAGCCTTAGAAGCTCCAATACTTCATTGAACACGAGCTCAAATTTCAACTCTACAGAATCGTTGGTGAGTATCTTAGAGCTCGAACCTTTCATTTTCACTTCTATCTTATCTATTTTCTCTTTTCTCAAAGAATCTCTTCTCTATAAGGTGTTGAACTACCTTAATCCGTGAACCAACCTCCTCTTACTTTCTCATCACCAAGAACTAGTTTTCTAAGGTAAGGAGAGCTCTATCTTATTACTAAGAAATGTTATGTTTGCATGTATGATCGTGTTTGATTTGAATATGTGATAAGTGATAATATGTTTTTGATATGCTTGGAATATGATTTGATAGATGCAAAGCATGTTTTATGATGATGAGTGTGATTTCATTTTGAATATGTGCATGTATATGGTGGACTGAGTCCAAGGGAACTAACTTTCGGCAATGATTGAGTAATATATGATATAATAATGAACTAAGGAAAAATATAGAAAGATGAGATAGAAACATGGAAAAAGGAAAGGAAATGATATGATAAGGAAGGGTATAGATAGTTCAAAGCTACACTGAGAGTATGGAAGATTGAAAAGTCTTAGGAAATGAGGGTGGTGGATGCTCATCTTGAATTGCGCAAGACAAATGAGAGTAGGAGCACCACAGGCTTCACACTTGTTTCCTGACTAAACTCCTGACCATACTTTTACTAAAAAGGGTCGGGTCAGCACACATTGTATCTGTGTAATTGCAGCTATCTAGCGACTATCTATGCTAAGGAAGACCTCAAGCGATCTCAGGGACAATGAAATTGAGAAATGGAAATGTTAGTAACAATAGACGTAAGTTGAATAAATTAGAAGAATAATAATTTTATAATATGATGCTTGTATGATTGCTTTATCTGTATCATTGAATTATTTGTGATTGTATGCTTAATAATGAAAATAGAGACTTATCCTTATATAACCATTTCAGGGAACCAGGATGACAGCACACACCGAGAGGATTAAATTAGTAAATAGTTCTGTAACTAATAGGTTAAATTATGTATATAATGAATACCAGCGACTTTGTTTCTTTATGATTATTGTATATGAAAGTGATGTACCTAGTGATATTATTATGATAGAAATGAAATTAGCTTTTAGTATTCCTTTTGATTTCCCTGTAAGTAGAATCCATCACACTCTATGTGTATATATCTTTCCTGACACCGTGAGGACCTCAGCAACTTTAATGTATCTGTTCACGTACCATGACCACGATTATCTTGGGAGACCATCCAATTGGACTTTTGAGCAGATTACTGGTGCTCAGGTTATTGCGGATCCTAGTGACGTATATCTCAGATCGGATGACGACCTCGACTTTGATGATATAGCGATGATAGAAGGATGACACGAGAATGACTAGTGTCTCCTTAGTCATGTGATGGATAGGCTGCTCATTAGGACTTATTATGTTTTGTATCTTATAAATGTTGGAAAGAAAGTCCTAATGTATTTTATTATACTATAATGAATATTTTGTAAATGTTACCTTTGTATATATTATAAGAATAATATATGTTACCTTTGTATATATTATAAGAATAATATATGTTCATATATTTTAACGTTTCTTCTTCAGATTCCGTTTAACCATTATTGTCTTGTTATTCAAAGTTTTGTACAATTGAGCAAAATGAATAGAATACATGAAAATTTTACTGTTATATTTGGCCAGTAAATAAAAATTATTTTATTTTCTGTTTAATTCTGAAAATTTACTATTATTATTTAAAATAAAAATAAGGATGTGACAGACTTTGTTAGTGTCGGCAACCTCTTACCAATGTTGATCATTTTCTTTTTCAAATTTCTTCAACATTGTGTAATTGCTAGCATATCCTGGGCCATCTTGTCTTCAATTTGAAATTTTGGGTCAAGGAAGATGATGATTTCAATGCACAAACCATGGGAACTGCTAAGATTTCAACGAAGAAGATGGTCATTGACGAGTTAATCTCTAGCTAGTAAAGGAGGGAGAGAATAATATGAAATAACGTTGTTTTGACCACTTAAACTATCCCTAGTGTTATTTAAGCAAAATTTAGCATATTTTAAAATAAAAACTATTAGTTAGACTAAAGCATTTAACATTTGATAAAGTTAATAATTAATGCGTATATTTAAAAATCTTATCAATTAACTTTAAAGTTACATTTTTTTTGGGTATTTTTCATATTTTAATGCATGAGACTCTTAAAAAAATTAGTTCATAATAATTTTTAATGTATTTTTTAATCTTTGACTTTATCATGTGTACATTTTGTGATTTTTTTACTTTTCATATTTTAATGCATATTTAATTTATTAAAATTTAAATATTTTAATATGAGCTTAAATTTTAAGAATTTTTAAATATATTATTTATTATTGACAATTGAAAATACATTTATTTTGCATTTTTTTATTAACTTCAAACATATCTTATCATTTGATCAAATAATTTTTTAACTTAAAAACGAATTTATAAGAATCAAAAGGTGGTTTTTTATAGATATATCACTAGTATATCTATTGGTGATCTTACAAAAAATAAATACACAAAATAAAATTTTATTTTCATCTTATGCAAAGGAATATATAGATTGAAGGGTTAAAATTTAAAATAGTTATGAAAATTATTTTTTCACAGTTAAATTAACAGGTTTCTTGTATTGATTTTTAAAATTTGTTTGACTTACTAAGTTATGTATTTTGATAAATGCAAGATGAATTACGCAGAATTCTCCTGTTAACCAAAATAAAATGCTGATTTTTTTTTAATATTCCAGTTCCAATTCCAATTTTTCTATTTATAGAAAAATAAAATAAAATAAAAAATGGGAAGGAACAAAACCGGTATATGAAGAAGAAAGAAGGCACGAGAAAAGAGTGTTTTTAAGTGTAGTAGCTGCATCCAGCATCTTCATCATCGCTCGCTATGGGATTGGATTTCACAGCAGAATTTGGGGCTTTTCGAAATTCCAATTAGGGTTTGCAAAGGCGCGCGTTGTCGCTCTCTCTGTTCCGTTATTGTTTCGTCGCAAAGTCACTAAACTGAAAAGAATCAAACCTGGGGAGTGAAGGTTCAGGGTTCGATCCTCGCTCCTTGTGCTGTTGCCTCGTTCGGTTTTGGCGCTCCCTCATGGCCGATAACATGGAAATCGATTCACCTTCCGATTCCCACCCCCTCAATCCTCGAGATCGAATCATTCGGGTAACAATCACTGTTTTTCCGATTCTTATCCCTTATTATGGAAATTCACACACTCCGTGACTCGATCACTGTTTAATTCAATTTGCATTTGGCTAGAGAATTAGGATCTATATTGGTTGGTTTAGATGTTTTGAATTGTTTCCCCCTTTTGGGGTTCGGTGAATTTTTTGTTTATGAATTCAGTATTGAATTTGGAGTTTTACGGTTTGAATTGTTTTTACGAACATTGAATTGCGTGTTTGATGTGTGGTTTTGGCACGGTTTGCAGAGGCTTGCTCAATTTGGCGTTCCTGAGGAGCAGCTTGACCAGCCTGGTTTGGTTGCTTTTGTAAAAGAAAAGAGGGGGTTGTTACCTGAGCTGGTGTCTGTTATATTGCCTACCGATTTGGAATTGGTAGAAGCATTGCAGGAATCTAAATTGGGCTCTAAGAAGTTGACGTCGGGAGGGAACATGAAGAAGAGTTTCCATGAGAGCATGGTGTGGTTGCAGTGGTTGATGTTTGAGGGTGACCCAGGCAATGCTCTGAGAAGCCTTTCCAAGATGTCTGTCGGGCAGAGGGGTGTCTGTGGGGCTGTTTGGGGCAACACTGATATAGCTTACAGGTGTAGGACATGTGAGCATGACCCGACTTGTGCAATCTGTGTTCCTTGTTTTGAGAATGGGGATCACAAGGGTCATGATTACTATGTTATATACACAGGTGGCGGTTGTTGTGATTGTGGGGATGTGACAGCATGGAAGCGTGAGGGGTTCTGCTCAATGCATAAGGGTGCTGAGCAGATACAACCACTTCCGGAGGAATTTGCAAACTCTGTTGCTCCTGTGCTTAGTTCTCTTTTCAATTGTTGGAAAGACAAACTAACATTGGCGAGTGATTCCAATAATGGAAGAAAGAAGGCAGCAAATGAGCTTACTTTTGCTGTGGTTGATATGCTTTTAGAATTTTGCAAGCATAGTGAGAGTTTGCTCAGTTTTGTTGCAAGGCTATTGTTTTCTTCTTCTGGTTTAGTGAACATCCTGGTGAGAGCTGAGAGGTTTTTAGCTGATATTGTTGTAAAGAAACTCCATGAGCTACTCCTGAAATTGTTGGGAGAACCTAACTTTAAGTATGATTTTGCTAAAGTTTTTCTCACTTACTATCCAAGTGTTGTAAATGAGGCCACAAAAGAGTGCAGTGACCTTCCTTTAAAGACGTACCCACTACTATCAACATTCTCTGTGCAGATACTTACAGTACCCACTCTTACGCCACGTCTTGTGAAGGAAATCAATCTACTAACCATGCTGTTGGGATGCCTTGAAAATATTTTCATTTCTTGTGCTGAAGATGGACGGTTACAGGTAATGAGCTATTGCATTTTGGTAGATATAATGTCAAGATGTGCCAGAATAATTAGTCTGTTTGAATCTTATCCTTTTAAATAATTTTAAGTTGAAGTTCTAGTTGCAAAGTTGGTTAATATTTTTCTATTAAGGAAATGTAGCTATACTTCTCATAATCATGTTTTTAATCTTCTTTCATGATGTTTCGTTAAATAAATATAGGACACCTTTTGTAGGTTTCCAAGTGGGTAAATTTGTATGAGACAACAATACGTGTTGTTGAAGATATTCGATTTGTTATGAGCCATGTGATAGTGCCTAAATATGTAACCAATGACCAGCAAGATATCTCAAGAACTTGGATGAAACTTCTGTCCTTTGTGCAAGGGATGAACCCGCAAAAGCGAGAAACAGGTCAACATATAGAAGAAGAGAATGAGAATTTCCATTTATCTTTTGTTTTAGGGCACTCTATTGCCAATATTCACTCTCTATTGGTGGATGGGGCATTTTCTGATCCTAGCAAGGGGGAGATGAACGGTGAAATTGTTTGGAGCTCAAATAAGAATGAAACAGATGATGGAGATAATCTAAGACTTGCAAAGGTTGGGCGGCTATCCCAGGAAAGCTCTGCATGTAATGTGACCAGTAGGAATAGTGCCTTTGCTTCTAAGGTTCTTGACATAAAATCTGAGGCCTCTTCTGAGCTGCCTCTTCCACGTTCTGTCACTTGGTTGATATATGAGTGTTTAAGGGCTATTGAGAATTGGTTGAGAGTTGAGAATACCCAGGGAGTACTTCCTAACATGCCATCTCCAAACAGTGGTACTGTCTGTGATGGAAATTTTTCAGCATTTAGACGAACAATATCTAAGTTTGGAAGAGGTAAATATACATTTGGTAGGCTTGCAAGGTCAAGTGATGATCATGGTAAGCAGTGCTCTGAAAATAGTGAAACTGATTCAGAAAATAACTGTGTTCGTTCGACTTGTGATGATAGTGCACTGGAAGAAGATTTTCCTTTGGAATCAGATGGCCTACGTTTTCTATCATTGGCCGATTGGCCAGAGATAGTCTATGATGTTAGTTCACAAGATATATCTGTACACATTCCGTTACATAGATTGCTTTCCATGCTCTTACAAAAGGCAATGAAAGGATATTTTTGTGAAGCTGAAATGTTAGATGTGACTCATGCTTCTGCCAATTCATTATCAACAAGCTACAATGACTTCTTTGAACAAGCTTTACGGGGAAGCCATCCATATGGTTTCTCTGCCTTTATAATGGAGCATCCATTGCGAATTAGGGTCTTTTGTGCTGAAGTCCACGCTGGAATGTGGCGTAAAAATGGAGATGCTGCTTTACTATCTTGTGAATGGTATAGATCAGTACGCTGGTATGTAAACTCTGTATTATTATTGTATAGCATTTAAGTCATCCATTACATTATGCTATATCAGTTCTTTACTTGAACAGGTCTGAACAAGGTCTGGAGCTTGATCTATTTCTTCTTCAGTGTTGCGCTGCACTAGCTCCAGAAGATCTATATGTCAATCGAATTCTAGAGCGCTTTGGTCTGTCAAACTACTTATCTCTAAGTCTTGAATGTTCTAGCGAGTATGTCCTCTCCTGCAATGAAGCAAACCTTTAATGCATATTTGTTATTTTGGAATGCTTAAATGTGCAGTATGATAGGAAGTTAATGGGATTGCATACATGTTCTTGAAGGATATAATTGTTTTTGGGTTGACCATATTTTTGTTGTGAAGCATTAGCTGCCTGTCTAGTCACTTCATTATTGTTTTGTAGTTCTTTTATTAATAACTCTACATGTACAAATGCTCTCATGAATTTACGATTGCTGCTTTATGAGATGCATTTTATCTTGTTGATCTCATCTAACATATCATCATTTTATAAATTTCTCTGTTAAAAGCTGCTTTAAATGATAGTTCCAAAACAGTTTCCTATATATTCCTAGTCATTGTCATCATTCATTATTTGCATACTTCTTAGCATTTTTGTGTAAAACTGGACTTGTTTATTGAATTCGGAGCAATTTGTCTTGTATCATTTCAGATGCGTTTGGTATAGAATGAAAGGTTTGTTAATGTTATGCTTGGGGTATGTAGCATGGTAATCAAAATCAAGATTTTAGTCATGATTGGGAATTGGGGTCGTGTTTGTAAATTGTGTAATTGTAACATCCTACAAAATTCATGTATGTATACAGTCATGATCTGCTGATACTCGGTGTCAAACTTGAATACTTATACCTTTTAATAACTTTTCAGAAAATGCAAGATTGACCAATTTAACCATTGGTTTGAAGGTTCTTATTAAATAGATCAATTTTGTAAATTTTTATTCAAAAACAAACATAATAGGTACTTCACTACATTACTTTATTTTTTACGTGTAATATGTTTTTAAAATATAAGTGAGTATCAACTTTTGGACAACATACAAGTGTTTAAATTATGTGAAATTTGATATATATGATCATGAAAATGATATAAGATGATTTAACGTTCGGATTGATCAATCTTGTGTCTATGGATCGTAGCTATATACACATATACATGTACATATATGAGTCACCCATGGATTTTTGGGTTTATGTGAAACCAATGGGTCAACAACCCAACAAGAAATAATGTGGGATGGCACGCTCTTGCCGATCCTACAATTTTCACTTGATGATCCTACCGATTTAGCTAAAAATGAATTACAACTAAAATTGGGATAACCAACCGTGGCAAAGATTGTAAGATCGAATGCATGAATTGACTTTCAATTTCAACTACCATGGTATGTAGTGATTTGGGGTGTGTGGTTGGAGAGAAATGTCAGAACTTTCTTGTTCCATTTCTCTCTCCCCACCTCTTTTGGATGTCTTATCATTTTTTCTGGTACTGATTTGTCTTGTGAATTCATGTTCTGTTGAAGTCCCACATTTGCTTTAGATATGGCTAAATAAGAGCTTATAAAGTTAAAACAATCCTCACCTTACGAGTTAGTTTTTGAGGTTGAGTTAAGTTCTAGTTTTCTAACATGTTATCAAAGTCTATATAATTTGAATTTTGGACTACCCACATATGTCCAATTTTCTGTTGGGCCACCTGCAAATGTCCAATCCTACAAATGTCACGCACTAGATGTCTAGTCTTGGATGCGAGGGGTGTGTGTTGAGATGTTGTACATTAGCTAGGAATAAAGACATAATACTCTTTATAAGGGTTTGGGTAGTTCTTCTACGAGTCAACTCTTAAGAGAGAGTTAGGTTCAAGTTTTCTAATATGGTATCAAAGTTAATTTTCGATCCAATATTGGGCCACTCTTGACTAAAAAAAAAAAAAATTTGGCTCCACCAATTATTCCAATGCAATTGATCTGGCCTTGTGGATTTCCTAGTGCAACTTACCTAGTCCCGCAAGCTTTCCGAGTGCTACTTACTTGATCTCACTGCTTATCTAGTGTTATATTTTAAAAAAGAAAAGCCCTTTGATTATGTGCAGAGAAGACCTTTGGAGATGCTAGTAAGAAGAGTGAATTGCATGACTTTTAGTTGGGTAAAAGGGGTTTGAGAAAGACCCAAAAGAACTTTAGACGAAGTTATTAAAAGAAACCTTATGATTAACTAGATTTTTGAAAATTTGGTTTTTGATTGAGCTCAATGGCATTGTGTAATTCATGTAGTTGACCTCACCTGAGATATGGTTTAGTTGTTGTTAATGTTGTTGTTAATGTTGTTGTAGATATCCAATCTTGATCGTGAGTGTGTGTTAAAGTCTCACATTGACTATAGATATGGTTTAATAAAAGCTTAAGAAATTCTCACCTTATGAGCTAGCTTAAAAACAGGCTGACTTTCCTGTTTTGTCCTTAAAAATGACCCTATTTTAAGTTTTTTTAAGGGTAAAATAGCCTTTTTTCCAATTTTGGAATACATTGACCTGATCCGTTTTTCTTTTCCCCTTCTCTATTTGATGCTCCTTTCTCTCATCTCCATCTCCATCTCCATCTCCATTTTGTTTTTAGTGTGCTTCACTAACTAGACATGCATGACCTAACCCCAGTTTTTTTTTTCCATGTTTTCTTCTCCCCTTCTTTGTTCAACTCTCCCTTCTCTCATCTTTGTCTTTGTTCTGCTTCGCAACTTTCTCCAGTACAGCGGAGCCACCCATGTCTGATGACTTCTTTGTCAAAATCCACTTTCTTTCCTCTCTCTATTCTTTGATTCTGCAGTGCTGCCTCTGTTATGTTCTCTGTTGTGTCTTCTAATTATCTGCATATGGTATATATTGTATATCCATATAAAAAAAATTAAATAGCGGTCGTCATGCAGTATGCTATCCTGCTATAGCATTTTGAGGGTTGTCCGCTATGCACTGCTATCCAAGATTGATAACTATGGTCTTGTAATTATTTAAATGATTTGTACACCTAATATCCTGGTGACTTTGAATTTATAGTCATTTAAAATTGCAAAGATATATAACTTCGAGTAACAAAATCATGTTTTTGCATTTACAATCACAACCAATTCAATCATTTGCCTTTGCTCACTTGATTATTTAAAATTGTGAAGGACCAACTCTCTTAAAGGCTTATGTTGTTGGGTACCACCCATCATAACTTGGACATTCCCCTTAACACGAGCCTTTAGGGCTTGAAGTATGGACAACGGACAAGCCCACTCTACATAGTCTTGTAATTTGATTTTAATCATGACGAATGAGAGAAGCAAGAATTGAACACTTGATCCAACAAATTTTAAAGTTTTGCTTGTTTCTTATATCAGAGTCAAATCAGGATATCCTATGTAGTGCACCTGTGCTCATGTACCACTCCTTCCATGTTTTCTTGTCAATATTTTGATCTTTAATATGTAATCTATACCATATTAAAACTGTCCAACGATTACAAAATTGTCCATCTTACCTGATTTTGTTTCTTGGCCATTGCTGAACGTCAATTTTTACTTTACTTATGGAAACATGGACTTCTGCTGATTTGCATTTCACTTTGATGCAAGTTTTTTTTTTTTTTTTTTTGGCTCTACCAAGGGTTGCTACTCTACTTTGTTTAATAATAAATGCTTTCTTATTTTCAGATATGAACCTGTTTTAGTCCAGGAAATGCTTATTCTTATTATTCAGATAGTAAAAGAACGACGATTTTGTGGGCTAACTACTGCTGAAAGTTTGAAAAGAGAACTGATTTATAAATTGTCCATTGGAGATGCAACTCATAGTCAATTAGTGAAGTCTCTTCCTCGCGATCTCTCCAAGTTTGATCAGCTTCAAGACATCTTGGATCGAGTTGCTGTTTATTCTAATCCATCTGGCTTTAATCAGGTTTTATCATCTCTTGAAGAAATTTATTACTTTATTTTGTTACCTTTTATTTACCTAGATTTTTATGTTATGTTAGGGTATGTATTCTCTGCGACGGCGTTTTTGGGAAGAATTGGATTTGTATCATCCACGTTGGAATTCAAAGGATTTACAAGTTGCTGAAGAAAGATATTTACGCTTCTGTAGTGTCTCTGCACAAACCACCCAGCTGCCGCAATGGACCAAAATTCATCCTCCTCTGAAGGGGATAGCCAGGATAGCCACTTGCAAAGTTGTTCTTCATATTATCCGTGCAGTACTGTTTTATGCTGTTTTTACATTTAAATCAGCTGATTCTCGTGCTCCTGATATTGTTCTTCTGCCTGCACTTCATTTGCTATCATTATCATTAGATATCTGTTTTCAGCAGAAAGAATCTAGTGAGAATATGTGTGATGATGTATTGCAACTTCCCATAATAGCCTTCTCTGGAGAAATAATTGAGAGTTCATTTTGTGGTGTTGGTGAACAAAGCTTGTTGTCACTTCTTGTTTTGTTGATGGAAATGCACAGAAAGGAAAATGTAGACAACTTTGTAGAAGCAGGTGGTTGTAGTCTATCTACTCTAATTGAAAGCTTACTGAAGAAATTTGCTGAGATTGATGACAGATGCATGACTAAGTTGCAAAATCTTGCCCCTGAAGTGGTCAGTCATATTTCTGAATGCGTTCCAAGTAAAGACTCAAGTGTCTTACTGTCAGCTTCTGATAGTGAAAAACGCAAGGCAAAAGCTCGAGAGAGGCAGGCTGCAATAATGGTAGGCTATTGTGTTTTTATTATAATATAGTCTCTGATATTAAAGAAATGTTATACTCTGTTTGCAATCCGTTGCATGATTTTATCGTAATTTGCAAGACAAATCTGAGACACGGCGTGAATTACCAGAATATTTAAATTCTAGAATATTTTGAAATACATATGCTTTCAATATCTGCCAGGTGTGTAATTTACACGCTGAGGAAGGCATTTGGTTGCAATTTTGCAAATATTCTCAATTGAGCATGTTTATATACTATTTCATCAGGATGCCTTGATCTGTTCTTTTGTGCCAATTTGTTTGTCTTCCATTTTAATCTGTGTCTTGTTTACTTTGTTTCTAATGCAGGAAAAGATGAGAGCGCAGCAGACTAAATTTTTGGCCAGCATTGATTCCAATGTTGATGATGGCTCTCAACTTGGTAATGAAGGTGAATTGGATACTGAGCAAGATGCTGAAGAATCTAAACAAGTTGTTTGCTCTCTTTGTCATGACCACAATTCAAAACATCCCATTGCATTTTTTATTCTTCTTCAGGTATATGGCATTAGCATACCTGCTGTTAGTTATATCAAGCAAAGGTTCTAGTTTGTTGCATTGCAATTTTTAAATTTTATTCAATCATACATATTTTATCCCCCAGCCTAATTCATGCAATTTTTTTTTCGTGTACAAGAAATCTAGGCTTGTGAGTTCCGTTGACAGGGGTCCTGCATCATGGGCCCAACTTTGTCAATCAGATAAAGAACACACACCTTTCCTTAACACCAAGGAGACAGATAAACTGGCTATGAAGAAGATTTCAGTTAGTTCAGGATCAACTCCATCTGCCCACCTAACTCAATTAGTTCAGAAGGCTGCCAATGAATTAACTTCTCGTGGAAAACCTGGGGAAGTTAATACTTTTCTGCGATATGTCAAGAATCAGTTCCCTGTATTGGGAAATTTTCAGCTCCCAGACACATATTATGGTGAAAAAGAAACGACACCATATACCTTTGAGACTTTAGAACAGGATATGTACATCTCCATTTGTGATGAAATGCGTGATCTTCTGCTGTCTTCAAATTTTATGAATGAGGACTCTACTACTGGGGGGAGTTCAAATATTATAATAGATACTGGATCCGATTTGTTTGGGAAATATACAGCTGATCTTGTGAGAGAGATGTCAGAAAATTCTTCGGATTCTGAAAATGCGTGCGGTGAGAATGCTTCTGTAGAATCATCATCACAACATCCAGCATATGATGGATTTGGCCCTACAGATTGTGATGGAGTTCATGTTTCTTCATGTGGGCATGCAGTACATCAGGGGTGTCTTGACCGATATTTGTCTTCATTAAAAGAAAGGTATGTTTTATTTAGAATCATTTGCATAGCTTTTTATGTTTTATGTTTATGATCTTTGCATGCCTTTCCTAGTCGCCCTTGTTCCTGAATACAAGAACAACAATAACAATAACAATATCCAAGCCTTATCCCACTAGGTGAGGGCCCTTATTCCTGAATGTCTAGCATTTTTAATTTTTTAGTTTTAACTCTGCATATATGTCCCGCTGCTCCTTTTAAGATTATTAGAAACATAATATAAAACCACTAATGTGTCTGCGCCCTTGAGTTTGTTTTTGAGGTTGAATAAGGCTTAGTCCCTTTCTAATATTATATGAAAGCCTATCTAGTCTTAATGTTGGGCCACCAGCATATGTTTAGTCCTACAAATTTTTTTGCTTCAAATATCTAGTCTTGGGCATGAGATAGTGTGTTAAGGTATTCCATATCAGTTAGAAATATGGCCATAATATAGCTTGGGTAATTTTCTACCTTGAGCTAGTTTTAACAGTTGAGTTAGGTACAGTCCATTTTTAATATGACATTAGAGTCTCTATGATCAAGTGGTCTAGAGATCAACATTGCTACCTCACATTCTTGTAATAAAATAATTTAATTTCAGTAGAAAGTAGGTGAGTTTGTGCATTATCCACATGTCAAGCCCAAAGGACTCAGGTGAGGGGGTCTGTTAAAAATATGATATAATACCCCATTCATGTGTCTTCACCTAACAGTGCAAGCTTTTGGGATGGTTCATGATAGAGATCAACCAATTCCAATGCAAATCTTTGTTTTTGTGATTAGATTGGATGACTTTTTACCTACAAATTGTTCTAATCCTAACTGTGAACTCCCCCTAGTGTCAAGATCAATGCAGGAAATGAAGTAAGCTGCATAGAACTCGAGTCTAGTGGGTTAGATTGCAGAAGCAGCAGTGCAAAAAAGAAGGGAGAAACTAGTTAACGATGTCATTTTGAAGGAGTGTGTGGAAACGTTAATTGCTAACCCAAACTCATGAACACGTGCCAGAACTTGCGATTTTATAGGAAGGGATGCAAGTCAAAACTTGATTTTAACAACCATGTCATGGAAGTATTGCTTTGTTTCCAAACATAATTTAGAGGAGGAATTGAGGAAAAAATCTGATCTTTAAATCATTTAAATTTAACGGGCATTTTTGGAGTTCGACCTATGTCCATGGACCAGTTTTTGAAGACTGGTTTCACTGATATGGTATAAATAAAAAAGCCTAGTTTTTGTGGAAAGGTGTTGTCAATGCCACACCTTGTTGCATATGATACAACCAAAATTCTCAAATCTTTTGGAATTCTTTGATTGAGAGCAGCTTTCTTGGGATAAGATAATGCATTTGGCTTCTAGTTGGTGTAAAGGTGATGTTCTTTTTAGAGGGGTTTCCCATACAGATATATTTAGGAACTGGGACCACTGGATAGCTTCATTATTGCTTGTGTTTTCATTTGTTTGTATTTTCATTTTTTATGGAGGATCTGTTATCCTCCAATCTGTGTAATCTATTTCTCTTTTCCTAGGATCCCTTCTTGGTAGGCTATGTGTTATGTCACTGTAAGTCCTCACAGAGATTAGCAGTTTGCAGCCTTGGAATGGGAGAGCCTCCCCGCATTGTAAACTTCTATGTATAAAAGAATGGAGATTAAGTTTTGTCACTATTCATACACATGATTAATTGATTTTGTCAATCAAATTGAATCTGATAAATCTAATGACACATACACAGAACACAAATGGTTATTATTTTGTTATTTTGACTGAATAGATTGTTAAGTTTTTATGTAATGGAGTAATTATTATTTTGTTATTTTGACTGCACAGATCTGTCAGAAGAATTGTTTTTGAAGGAGGACATATTGTTGACCCAGATCAGGTTTAGGTCTTTTCTAATATCTTTTTTCATTTTGTATGGGCTGATGAAAATTTGTTATTATTTTGCAATACTCTTATCACTCTTTTCCTTTTTGACTTTTTATTCTTATCAAGGGAGAGTTTCTCTGCCCAGTGTGCCGCCGACTTGTTAATTGTGTCTTGCCAACTGTACCTGGAGAACTACAGAAGCCTTTTATGCAGTCTATGGTCTTGAGAACTGGTTCAATAAATTCTGCAGCCCCCTTAACTGAAACAAATGAAATGAGTTATTCACTTCGCTTCCAGCAAGCCTTAAAGCTCTTGCAATCTGCTGCAAGTGCAGTTGGGAAAGATAAATTCCTGAAAGCTATTCCTTTGCATCACATTGATAGAACTAGACCAAATTTGGAAAACTTCTCACGGGTGCTTTCTAAACTGTATTTCCCTTGTAAACAAGAAAAGTTATCAAGAGTTGCTAGACTAAACCAGTCAATGCTAATGTGGGACACGCTCAAGTACTCCTTGATGTCAATGGAGATAGCTGCACGTTGTGGAAAGACTACTTTTACCCCTAACTTTACTCTTACTGCCTTGTATGAAGAACTCAAGTCTTCAAGTGGCTTTATATTATCCCTGTTGCTGAAACTTGTTCAAAAGATACGAAGTAAGAATTCTCTTCATGTACTGCAAAGGTTCACTGGTGTTCAACTCTTTGCAGAATCAATTTGCTCTGGGGTTTCCCTGAATTATGCAAAGAATGACATGTCTGGGAGAGGTATAATTATTGTTCTTAGTTCTGTTTTCTATTGCTTCACAAAATGGTAAAATTATTTAATATTATTTAATTTCTACCATTTTTCTGTTAAATGTGAATATTAGCTTTTCAAATTGGAAGTTGTAGATTATCACCTCATGATTTTTGCTGTCAAACAGGTTGCAATATATTTATTGATTTATAGGATAATTTTTTTTCTTGTTGGAAATTTGTTAGGCTTCAAAGTTGTTTTTCCACTGGTGTGTAAAAATTAAAAGGCTCTCAGCTTAATTTACTTTTGATATGAATTTACAAAATTCTGTTTCATTGTAAGCATAAATTGATAATTCCTGTTGAAGCTAATTGGGGGCTTCTTTTGCATTTGAACACCTAATTTAATTACTTATGCTAATAATTGTTATAATCCATTTATTGGTGTGCATTATCTGCAATCTGCAAGCCTGAAATTTACTTGAATTTATTCTCCTCGATGCTACCTAAGAGTTTTTATCTGCTAATGATGTACCATTTTGTAACTGCTACATATTCACAGGTGATATGTTATCCATCTTAAAGCATATTGAAATGGACCTGTCAAACACCAACATATGCTTTTGGAGTCAGGCTTCAGATCCTGTACTTGCCCATGACCCTTTCTCAACATTGATGTGGGTTCTCTTTTGTCTACCACACCCATTTTTGTCATGTGAAGAATCCTTGTTATCCCTAGTGCATCTTTTCTATATAGTAGCTGTAACCCAGGTTGGTCACCATGCTTCCAACTTAATTACATGATGTGTTCTCTGGTCAAGTGTGTATTTCTTAATCAATTTCCTTTGGATACAGGCTATAATTTTGTATTATGATAAATCTTCGGATAAATCATCAAGGGACTCAGCATTTTCAGATTGTCTGATTACTGACATATATAAAGTTATGGGTGAATCTGGATGTGCCCAACAGTACTTTGTATCAAACTATTTTGACCCTAATGTTGATATTGAAGATGCAATTCGGAGGTTTACTTTTCCTTACTTACGAAGATGTGCATTGTTGTGGAAGATACTCTATTCTTCTATCCCAGCACCATTCTGTAATGAGGAAAAAGTATTGGATAGATCATGGAATGCCCCAAAGGACACAATGGACAGGACCAATATTGAGCTGTTTGAGGTCACTAAAATTCAAGAACTTGAGAATATGTTCAAAATCCCGGCTCTTGAAGTGGTTCTCAAGGATGAACTTTCAAGATCTACAGTCTCTATTTGGTGTCATCATTTTTGCAAGGAATTTGAATCACGGAAAGTTCACCATAATATTCATGTAACACCTGCAGTTCCATTTGAGTTGATGAGATTGCCAAATGTTTATCAGGATATTTTGCAGAGGTACTTTCAATTGTTATTCTTTACGTGTGTTATGTAAGGTACAGCATTACTTATTATTATTACAATATCTATACATAAGCAGGTGTATCAAACAGTGCTGTCCTGAATGCAAATCACCTCTGGATGAGCCTGCATTGTGCCTGCTGTGTGGTAAATTGTGCTCCCCAAGTCGGAAATCATGCTGCAGGTTCTTTTTCTGCCAATTTTATCATTGGTTTTACACTTCATGCTTTTATTTCAATTGCATTTTAAGCATTTAAAGTTTCATCCCTGATTCTCTAGTTTCAAACTCGTAATTCAATGATGACAAGCAAAATTTTAATTTTTTCCTTGGATTCAGATTCAACTGAATTTACTTTCTCAAGATGATTGGTAGCTGCAACATCTTTAACTTGAGCATCTAACATGAGTTTCTAAACCTAAAAATTTATTTTTCACCTTTTGCTGATTTGTTCCCTTGACCATGCCAGACTTGGAAGTTTTATTTAAACTTTATTATGTTTTTTGAAGTTCTACCTTATCCTCTAAACTACATTTAAATATCATGGTAAAGGGATTTTTGAGAACTGAATCATTGTCAAGCATGAGGTTACTTCCATTTTAATTATACTTATTCATTTGTTATCATGTGAATTTGAATTTATTTATTTTTTTACATTTTAAGGGAAAGGGGATGCCAAACCCATGCAGTAACCTGCGGAGCTGGTACTGGAGTGTTTCTGTTGATTAGGGTATCATGTTCTTTCTTGAACTTGTGTTTTGAATCACTAGTTCACTTAGGATGTCTTGCTCTATGGTTTTTTTCATCTAGCCCTTTGGATCTCCTTTCTGAGCTATCTTGTCCTGCCCCCTCTTCCTTATTCTTTATTAATTAATTAGTTGCTTATTTGCTTGGTTACTAAAGGAATAATGAATTGTGTTTGTACTGACAGAGAACAACCATCCTGCTACAGAGATCTGCTCGTCAGGCCCCTTGGCCTTCTCCATACTTAGATGCTTTTGGTGAGGAGGTAAGTTTCCCTTTAGCAGCTTTATTTAAGATACATAACAACATTATCCTCTTTCTTTCCCTAAGAGGCTGATAGAACCGAGGACCCAGGAAGAAATATTATTAGACATTAGTTATAGAGCAGTGGTAGAATTAGTTAGGTTAGGTGGTTATAACAGTAAATCTTGGAGCTTACCTAAAATGGTAGGATGGTGGTGCAAAGGAGCTTCATTCCGAATTGTTAGCTTTGGGGAATAGAGACTCAGTTATAGAAAGGGAACAAAGAGTTTGACAGTTATGATATTTCAATTGAACGAATATTCATTGTGAATTAGTGAATCTAACTTCCATCGACTAAGATTCTAGCACTCAGCTGTGCCATTTCCTTTTTCCATATTTGAGTCTTGCCCTCATCAAGACAGCTAGAAACTTCCTATTAGGAATGGCTTCCTTTCAGGTTGTGTTGTTAAAGACCAGACTGTTCTAAAGCCATTGGAAGGGAAAATTGTCTCCTCTTTTCTATTCTGATTTCCTTCACCAATAATAGATTCATTCTTTATCTTTCTCTAATACTATTCCTCAATTTTTGTTTGTGGATTTGTATTAGCAGCTTTGAATGAAAATTATATATTTAGGGAGTTCCAGCATATGGGAAGTTTTAAACAACAATCTCAAGCCTAAGTTGTGATCTTTGTTCCACTATTGTCCAATACTATTACATAGTCTTATTTTTGTTTTCTCTGTCACCATCAAAATTGTTAAAGTTGGTAGGAGTAAAAAGCAGCATGATAGAATTTTGTTTGCAAGTTACTGGAGTGCAACATTTATGATGGTGATAAAACTAAAGTTATGATGCTATTCCTGCAATGTGTTCTGTGAGTATATTACAATATGCCTTGAGGACAAGGATTATGATCGAACTTTGGTTTTCTGCCTGAATTTCTTGCACCAATCTCATCACCTGATACCCCGGTCATGGGTTGCATTTTTCAGGATCTAGAACCCCCCATCTTAAGGTATTGCTTCTCCATCAACTATCTCACCAGTGAATAGGAATTCAAATGATTCAATATACACCTTAATGTTGCCCGGTTGTTTCAAATCAGCCAATTTTTTTCCTCTGCCCATAACTTCACCACCTCTTTTGTTTCAGCTCCCAAGTGAGGTGATCCTCTGTATATCTCAAGTGGTTCAACCAAGGGGTGTGTCCTTCCTTGCTCAACCTGGGCCAGTTTCATTTTCTCTTCTTTGGAAGTGTGCTGGACCTCAAAATAGGTCTGGTTCTCACGATCCACCCTACTGGTTTATGACCTTCAAATGTTCCATCTTCATCTTCTTGGTAAACATACTATACTCTTCAGTTTCATTGTTCACTAATTCTGGTGGAGGCTGATGCTTGGGAGGTCAAGGATAGTTGCCCCCCACTAGGATTAATACTGTCTGGCTTGGTCACACTTCTTTTCCCAACCAATTTACTAATCTCTTACAATTACAAAATGGACTGTTTCAGATCCAGCATCCCTACTTCCAATTTGTCCATCCAAGCACCGCTACTTCCATTGCTAGGGTCCCTAAAATCTGAATCCTACAGCTATGAATTTTCCTGTCCAGTCTTGTCCATTCTGGTAAGTTCAGATTTGTCCCACGTGATCTGGCCCCAATTCTTGTACCATTAAGTGTCTCTCCCTGCTGGTTCCTCCCTTTTCCTCATCACCATCACCACTGTTTCTGCTAGGATTGCCACTGTCCATGACCCTATTTCAGTTTTGTCACATGCCACTTTTGGGCTTTCTTGCACATTGTTTCAGCCACTATCTCAGGTTTTCTGGCAACTGTCAACCTAGTTCAGGCTTGCCAACCACCAGTGGATTTGTCCAAGCCCGCACAACTCCACTGGTTTTGTCCTCATCCATGCTTGCACACAATTATTCCATAGTCATTCCCAATCATGCCATTGCTGTTTACCACAATGTGGCAGTGCGTCTGGCACTGTTTTGACTAGTCTATGCTGTTTCAACCTTGCACTTCCACCCTTCTCCCAATCCACTTTCACTCTGTCGGTTGCAGGTCTTGAGCCAACCTCACTGACCAATAGCTGTTTGTTCCTAATGTGATCTGACCATTGGTTTTCAAAATCCTAGATGCTATGGTCCCTTGAGCTGGACAAAAAATCCAGTTATGCAAGTCCAATCCATAATTAATTTTAAACTGATTTTAAAAAGCTAGTTGCACTTTGATTCATTATATTTGTGTAATTGGTTTATAGTTTTAAATCCACTTTCTAAAGCCAGAATTTTCTATATTCATTCAAATCTATAGAGTATGAAGACACTACTTCATGCCTTGGCTCATATTAGACTTGCGCCCTATCTACAAAATTTCTTTATCTCTATGTTTTACAACTAATATTTTTTTATTAACCTTCATTCTTATAATTAAGATTAAATATTTAAAATAATCTTTTTTAAATATAATTATTATATTAAAGATACAGAAATACAACAGATATTTTTATATTAATTACTATTATTATTCTTATAGTTAAATTTATTTTTTTAATTTTTTAGAATATTATAACAATATTTTTATTACTATATAATATTATTAGTTTTTATTTTTATAGGTTTTAATTTAAATTTTCATCATCAACTCTGTTTATTAAAAATAAATTAAAAATAATAAATATTTTATAAAAGCTTGTATTAAGTATAATATAATTTATAAAGATTAATAAAATCTTGAAAACACTAATTTAATGCAATGGTGCAGTATAACAAATTAGTTTTAGCTTAAAAACAAAATTTACAAATTTATTGAAAATCAGTTTTACCTTAAAAATTAAATTTAAAACTGGATTTAAAACTATTTTAACTTAAAACTAGATTTAAAATTAACTTAACATAAAACATTAAATTTAATATTGGTTTCAACAAAAACCAAATTTAAAACATGCTTTAAATCAAATTCAAAATTTAAAACTAATTAAACCAGTTTTGAAATAAATAAAATAGATTAGTTTAAAATCTAATTAATATAATTAGTTTATGTGGTGGAGATGCAAAGTAGAATATATGCAAATATTTATTAGTTTAATACAATATGAAGATAAAAAAAATATATTATTAATAGATTAAAATATATGTAAATATAATTTTATATTAATTATTATAAAATTTAACTGTTTTTTAATATAACAATTAATAATTATATAAAAATATTTGTAATATATTTTATCGGATTTAAAATTTGTTTTAAACCAAAACCAGTTTTAAACCAGTTTTGGAGAAAGTATAGTAGATTGGTTTAAAATCCAATCCATATAATTGGATTTAAAATGGATCCACCCCTAGTGGTCCCATCATTCTTCAATTCGACATGCTATGGCTCTTACTCTACTGATCTTCAATCCCAAAACAATGAATATTTCAGCCATGATTGGTGGAGCCCATATTATATTTATTAGGATTTAATTGTGACAAGCACAAAGGTTAGTGAGCTTTAGCTTGAGGGAGTGTGTTCAATATTTTTTTTTTTCTTTTCATTTCCTCTCTATACTTAAAAAACCCTATGACTTGAACAAGCTCAAGGCACTTGGAAAAAAAGAGGAAGGTTACTCCAAAGCTAATGGCTCCTCAAAGGAGAAGAGCTATGTCAAAAACTACCTTATAATGACCCCCTTCCCCCCCTTTTTTGTGTCACACTTACCTATTAACTTGGTACTAGCCCAACATACTTGGCCAACACAAAGTAGTCAATCCCAAATAGTGGCATGGAGCAGTCAACCACAAAATTGTTTTAGTGGGATAGTGGATAGTAGGATGACCGCTATTTTAAAGACTTGAAATACACCTAATACTACATCTATATATATGCTGAAAAAGAAAAAAAATTAATACCCAAATTAAAAACATGGGTAATTAATGATCAAAAGTGAAAGTTTAAGAACACGTCAAATGTTAATATGTTAATAACAACAAAATCAAGGAACCAAGCAAGTTTAAGTTTCTAATGCTTAGAAAGTTTAGAACCACTAAATATTTAAATACAATTTTTCATAGGAATCATCTTTATATGCAAGATCTAGCATCTCTTCATTTTCACTCTCATCGCCACCTTTATAAACCTCTCACCTCCTCTTGTTCTTCGGCGTCCTTATTGTCACATTCTTCTTCCTCTTGTGCAATATCCTTCCCTTTTCCTTTAGATGTAGAGGAAGAAGCAATTACAATTATCTTGTTTGATGATCTTGCTCACCTCCTAGTGTAGGTTAGAGACTCACTAGCCCCAACTGCATTGCTAACAGCACTCCAAGTCAAGTTATCATCGTTAAACACCAATTCATTTACAACACCTTCATCATCTCTACCCTTTGCTCATAGCAACCACTCATTACTATCATCAATATCTTTTAAGAGAATGAGATTCACCATATCACAACATTGAAAACATTGTTTAAGAGCTTGGTTATATTTAATGAAAACTAAATCTTGTAACATTTGATGCTGAAGTCTGCTTTTTTTTTTTTAGAATGAATTTGTTTTATAATAATAAGATATTAATTTCACAATTCCACTATTATTAGACCAAATACCTTAAATTGAAGTTGTTTGATATTTATTCATGTGCTCAAAAGTATTCTAATTCTGCTCACATCCAGAAGAATTACAAGTTAAACTCAATATTTTAATGACAATGTTTTGTAAATGTGGCATTTGGTCCATAGTTCTTCCACCATTCAGCTGTAAGTTATGCAACAACTTATTAGCATTGTTATCTACGTAATTATATCATGATAAAATTGAGTTAATATTTTACCAAGAGTCATTGTTGTCTTTTGTCTTATTGCTCCTTTCAAAACAAAGAGGTCTCCATCTCTTATATAAATTAAAAACTCATGTAAAGCATTGTCTACATCTTCTTCACTTGTAGACAGTCTCTTGATACATTTATACAAGTCCTCCGTCACTTCAGGATCATTTTCAATTTTCGGATTGCCACAAAAAAATGGAGGATTGAGATAATGACATGTAGCATCATGCTCAACATTGAAAACAATTCCATGTAGCATGAATTGTTCTTGCTTCGTTGTCACAAGCTTATTTCATACTTGTTTGTCTTTTTGTCTATCCTAGTTTGATGCTTGTTTCTGGACTCTTGAACAATAATAAATCCATGGGGCCCTTGACATTTCTGGATATTTTGGTGGTTGCATTGAGTTAAGTTGATGCTGCACTTGAGGTTGCAGCTGCACTTGAGGTTGCAGCTGCAAGTCTTTTTCCACTACAAATAGTCAATTTCTTGTACCACTTCCTCCTCATCATCATTTTCTTCATGCTCAATTAAGTGTGCATGTGTCTCAATTTTCTTCTTTGCATGAGCTGCTATTAGTATTTTTTTCACTTCTTTAGGAATCATTGTACAACTATCAACATCTCTCTTCACATGGGAATACTGCCGGTAGTAGTTTTGCGACAAAAGTCACAAGTAACAGCCTTTCTATTGTTAATGTATTTTAACTTATTTCATTGCCAACCTGTATCCAAGTATTTTATGTTTGCTTAACCAATGCACAAGAAGAAACTGAAATACAAACAAAGTTAAGGTTTTGTGTAGTTCCCTGTGATGGATTGGGGGAGTAACCATTGCTTCTTTTTCAAACATTCAAATTTGGATCATTTGGCGGGGTTCAAAGAGGAAAAATAGAACAGAGAAAAAACAGAAAACAGGGTGGTCTAGAAAGGCTCTAATGCAGATGGTATCGCCGGAAAACATGTGAAGCTTAGATGGAAATAACAAAAAAAGAGCCAGAATTTGGCCGGAAAACAGCCCCTAATGTGGATAGGTCATGTCAGAAATGAGAGGGTTTTGCTGGAAATGAAGAAGACAACTGGAACTTGGCCGGAAATGATGTCTCGCACCAGATTTTGGCTGGAAAATGATGTTGGCCACTGCACAGTGCATGGGACAAAGCAAAAGCTATCAGAGATACAGAATGGAGCACCTAGGGTTCGAGTCATTCAAGCTGTACCCACAGAAAAACAGCAATGTAAAAGGGGGCAAAATTCCAGGATTTCCCCCTGTAAAAGCCTTTTAACATTCAGAAAGGGAGGGTAAACATGAATTTCTCACTACATAAGATAGTGGTTGCGATTCACAGTGCTATTCCTGCTACACAAAACCACAACGCTATTTGCTTTCACATCAGGGAGCTGCTCTGCTCCACTCCACTCCACTGCAATAGCGCCACTATAGCTCGCTGTTGACTACTCTGATGTCAACATGGCAACTAACTACTTAACAACCCTCCTGGAATATACCTTTCATGTAGAAGGTTTCTTTGGGATTGGATCCAGCAGTTGATCCACCTCCAGCCCATCCTGCATTTCTGTTTAGATTGTGATTTTTCAGAGTTAGATTAGATCTCCAAGTGGACAGTTTACCAAATGTAGGTGTTCTCTATTTCATCTGGTAACATTGCTGGAATTTGTTCTATGCTACAGTGGATATAGTCTATCGAGATTCAAAGTCATTTAATTTGAACCCTGCCAGGGGTCCTTTGGCTTCATGTCATCTTTTAAAGGGCTGGAAATGGGGGATGAAAATTATAAACCTCGTTTATTTTCTGTCTCGATTTAATTTGTTGGCTGTCATTCAGAGAATGAGAATAAAATTTTATTAGACTATTATGATTCTCATTGTTTAATTGAACTGTGCTAATTCTAGTTGTGTTATGCTAGTATTTGACCTAGGTATTGGCATAAATAGTATTATGTTATTGATTAAACACATCTTATATCCTGTTATAATAATATCAAATATTCAGCTGTCTCTTCTCTTTTTTGTTATCAATACCTATAATCTCAGCTTGGTAAATGATTTCCTAGTATTATGCTAGTGATTATTGGCATAAATAGTATTATGTTAGTGACTGAAAACATCTTAATATCATAATAATATCAATTATTCAGATCTTTCTCCTCTTTTTTTTTTTTTTTTCCAATCAAATAACTATAATTTCAGCAAAGTAAATGATTCCTTTGCATTCATGATTGCTTGTTTTGGAATTCTATTTAAGCTGTCAGGATTTAGGCACTTGATATGTAACTGAAGTTAGAAATTCAACTCTCTCTTATTTGTAATGTTCTTTACTTCAGGATTATGAAATGAATCGAGGCAAGCCACTTTACCTGAATGAGGAACGCTATGCTGCTTTAACGTATATGGTAAGGAAATATTCTATCTTTACTTCTTATCTTTGTTTCAATTTTCTTAAATCACTTTACATTTTACACAATGGCTATTTATCTGCTTAGGTTGCTTCTCATGGACTGGACCGGAGTTCCAAGGTTCTTGGTCAGACTACTATTGGTTCCTTCTTCCTGGTTTAGTTCAAATTCTACATGTTTACTCATAGTGATAAGGTCTGGCATTTGAATTAGAATTAGCATATCTTCTTTGCTTTCTTGTCCTTCTTTGTTGTCTGCTTAAGCTTTCAGTTGGTCACCTTGTGCATGCAGAATTTTTTACTGGACAGATCTCTGGAGGGTGGAATTGGTTCTAGATATGCTATTATATCATGTTATACACTCCTCCTATTAATCAAATATGGTGTCTTATGCTCAAAATGTACAGCTCATTCAGGTGTGCATGCTATAATTGAATTTTTCTTCAATCAATTTCAATCTCATTATTACAATTAGAAGGATGTTTCCATCTTGGATAATTGGATTACCCGACCTTTTATTTAACTTTTCAAATCTTGGTAATTATAGCTCCAATAATTAAGAATTTTAGGGCACCAAGTAATTCAAAGTCTGTATGATTTAGATCAGGAAAGATGGAATGCTAACCCAATGATCCATATTTCTATGGAAATTCATCTCTCAAGGTTTTAATCATTTTAGATCTCTGGTTTGTTTTAGTTTTGGTCATGACTTTTGACACTTTTATCATTATAGTGAAGTGATTTGGTTTTGAAACTTCTCCTTGTCACTAATTACTTTGCATAATTTTCCCCCATTAAATTTTCCTTTCCACTCCAGTTCCCACTCCTCAAGTAAAATGATATTTCTTCAATAGTAAAAATTTTAATGACAAAGGAGTTATGCTACTTGAATAAAAATTATAGTGATGAAGTTATGGATGTACATTCGCATGTAATTCTACTTGAATTCAGTCTCTTCTCTGCCAACTCTATTAGATGAATCTTGATCTGTACACTTCGGATGTGTTTTCTTTTAAATCCCATTTTCAGTTTCTAACTTCCCAAATAGTGAAATAATTCCTCTGAACCAATCCATTTGGAAGTTTCTATGGTCAAATATTTTTGTTTGGTGCTTCTGGCCAACAGCACGGAATAAGATTAGCTTCAGATTTGTTGGCCCGGAGCTATCTCCTTCAAATATGACACGTGCAGATCAACTTTTTATTTGAAAAAATGAATAATGTAATTCTGCATCCCAAGACCAATTCTCTGTTTTATTTGGTTTGAGTGCAATATGCACTCTGAACTTGGTCCTTTATATCTTCACACAAATATTAGGTCTGCAACAAGTTTATTAAAGTCCAGCCAGTTTTATTTTATTCAAAACTTTTAATTTTCCTGTAAATAAATTTTCCAACTGTACTACATTTGAATAAAAACATGAATTCCTTCTATTTAGCCCTCACTTCATTGCACCTTTTTCATTATTTTTTCTATTTTAAACTTTTTATTTAGTACTATAATATTTTGTGAACTGTATAAATTTATGCTTACGAAGGTTTGTCTATTTTCACACTTCAGTAACGGTTGCTGCAAAAAAGATTTTAAACTTGCGGCTCAGGTGGGAGACTCTACCTGCTGGCCATGGCTGTACAGATTTCCCTGATGCTAACATAGCTGCAAGTTTCTTCTGCTCCATGCTTACCATAAAGTAAGTCTCCGATGAAGTAGGTGCACAGGTGTACATATGTCATCATACTAGTGAGGGGAGCAATTACTTCGAGGTATAGTTTGTGGAGTTTCTGAGCTTATCCTTACTCATTAGTGGTTTAGGATGTCTGAAAATACAATCAAGTTAGTTCTTTATCTCTCCCTCTCTTTTAAGTTGGGTGTTTGGTTGGGCCATCTCCTCTGCCCAGGTTGGGGAAAACAGAAAATTATAATGGGCATATTGTATACAAGGTATATATATACACACACACTGATTTCACAGTCAACATTTTTTTTCCTTTAGCATATTTGAGGAACGATGCTAGTAGACCAGTAAAATTTGGGATCTGTTTTCATTCTCAAGTGTGATGGCTTATGATAATATTATCATATTTTGGTGAATTAAAAAGGGATAATCGATTGTAATGGAATGTAATACTACATGGTAAGTTTATCTGGCCATTGTTGGAATGCCCTTACTGTGAGTAGGTGAATGTTCCAAGGAAAGGGTTCAGTTTGAGCTTCGTACAAGTATGTGGAATTGCACATTTATATCAGGAAAGAACCACCCTGCAAATGAAATTATAAATTTTTGTTAATATTGAAATTGAATTAGATTCATCTGTTCAGAATACAGTAATAGAAAGTGTACATAATGATAAACATCAACGTACAATCTTAATTCTTGATATTTGTTAAAAATATACTTATATTCCTATTTCTTTCCACAGAGAAGTTTTTTTTTTTTTTTTTGTCAATGTAGAAGTTTAAGATTTTACTTTTTTTTAACTATTATCACTCAACAATGTTAATTGATAAATAAAGCTATTAGTCTAGTCAAGTAGTAAGTCAAAGAAAGATTAAATATAAGGGTACGTTAGAAAATTTTTCAATTAGTTAATATAAAATAAATAATTTTTTAGTATACATTTTTTTTTATTTGAATAGATAAATAAAAGTGGTTAGTTCAAACGAGGTTGCTTTTACGATACAAAGGAACCTTGTCACCAGAAATCATTGGTAATGATACGACATTCGTTTGTCATTCGTATTTCAAATAATTGAACAAAAAATATCTACATGAACACATATTCCCCCACTGTAACTGAAATAAGCGAAAAATAATAGATTGAATTATTAATAGTAGATAATATTTAATATAATGGGTATAATGATAATAAAACGCAAGATATCCTTAAAAGTATTTTTAAATAGAAATGCTAAAATTAGAAAACGGAAAATAATTATGAAAGATTTAAAATTTTCCACTAATATATTTTTTAATGTATAGGTTTTATTTTTAAAATAAAAAGATTTAATTATCTAACACTTGATGTAGTCAATATCGGCATAATCGGATATTTTACCACATACAAACATTGATGACGTCATCACTTTTAATTAAGTGATTATTTAATAATTTTTTACTTATGAAAGTTTATAACAAATTTGATTATAAAATTTATTAGAATAAATTAAAAATAAATTATTTGGACAAGTTATATTAAGTTTATTGAAATAAGTTAAAAAGTTTATAAAAATTTAATTATTTCCTTAAGTTGTTCGTAAACTTTTTCAAATGTGTCCTAGACATGAGCTTCTATTATGTTTGTGAGAATATAAATTATGTTTGGATTAATTCATTTTGTGCTATTTTTTATTCACATCATATCCTTTAAATATTTTATTTATAGATTTTTGTTAAATTATTATTTCAAATCTTAATCAAAGATGTGCCTATCAGGTGTAACTTTGATTATAATAAATACTAATTCGAAACTATAGATGTAGCTTACATATCAAAATACTATCAGTTGTATGGAGATTATTTTTTTTCCCTTTTTCTAGCGATCAAAGTTTTGAAATCTTTTAGGACATGAAGTATTTTTATAATTGGAAAAACATTTAAAAAAGAAAAATGAACCAACCATATGTGATATGCAACATACGTTCCAACGCACGGTTCCTGACAATCCACGCCACATCACAAGGGACCGAAAAACTGAAATAATATTATCTGTTAATATGCCTAAATACAAAGTAGTGTTGGCCAATAATCAATCTTGTATGACTAAACACTGAGGTCAGTCTTTGAAATTATATAGATTAGGTATTTTAGAACTTGTTTGATGGGTAGAATAAAGAAGATAGGATTATTATTTTTTTGATTCAGTGTTTGCTAAGTTAATAAAATAAAATGAATATGATAGGATACATTTGTTTTTCGTCTCCTCATTTGAACTCTCTACCACTATTCAACTCTTAAGTGTTGTTGCCATTTTTCAAATTATTGTTGTTAATACTATCTAATATCACCGTAAATTATAATAAGCCTAATCTTTACTAATAATGTTATTACCGTACACAGTTTAATCAATTTGAATGAAGCTACATGTATCATGTTTGATTTCTTCTCCCGCTTTCCCTTAATGGGAAAATCAATTGGTGAAACTATTGTGGATTGTAGCCAGATGATTGTTGCTTGGTTGCCTTTGTGCTTCCCACTTTATCCCATTTTTAAAGCTCTACTTTTATAAGTAAACCGACTTGATCACACAATCGGTTTATCGATCATCGGTTCAATTCGATTTTAGAAGTCATGCTTTAACTCATGCATGTTTGTCCAATAAAAATACAAGTTAAGAATAATTAAACTCCCCTCCAACTTGAGGGGCAATTAATGTTAAAAAATTTTAACCAAGCATTAAAATTGTAGGCGGCTACCATTTGCACTGAAATAATCAAAATTACTTTCACCTGCAATGCCAAATATTAAGTAAAATTAGAGGTTGAAATTGAATTGTGTGCACCGTCTGTTACATGCCATAAATTGATATATAGGAACATTTGTTTCTATTTGTACAAGTTGATTATCTAGTGGTCAAAAGAAAAATTTATCCATTGCACCGATTGAGGTCAACAGCTTTGTAGGAAGTTAGCTTAGCAATTAAGATTAGTAATGTTATTTTATGTGAAACATTTGCTTATAAAAGGACTAGTCTTGTATGTTGTAATATGATCGGAGAAATTTCAAAAATCTAAACTACAATCTTATAAAAAAATAATATGTAAGATTTGATATGTGAAACTCAGAAAATGTGGGATAATATTTTTTTTTTATTATTATTACAAACCTCGTTAATAAGATTAGGATGTATAGAGAAGACATTTCTAAAAATAAAATAGTAGAAAAAACTCTACACACTATGCCGATAAAGTTTAATCATGTAATGACTATAATAATTGAATCTCACAACATAGATACAATGACCGTTGCATACTTATAAGGTAGCATTGAAAGTCATGTGAGGAAAATTTTGGAGAAGACAGCAAAAGTAAATGAAGAAGCCTTAAAGAGTCAAGTGAATTTTAATAACGTTAGATAATTCGGCCAAAGCGGAGAAAGTAAAGGTGATGATAATATCAATAATAAAGGAAAAGGCAACTTTATAGGTAAAGGTCATGACAATTTTAAAAGAAGAGGACGTAACAATTTCAATCAATGGAGATGCAACAATTTCAAATCACCAAATCAAAGAAAAGGTGAAAACAATGCTTGGCCCGCTAACTGTTGAAGAGGTAGAGGTGGTTATTACCAAAAAAAGAAGCAATTTCAATTGTTTTCATTGTGAAAAGTTTGGTCAGAAAGCAACAAATTGAAAATTTTGACAATAGGCAAATGTTGCAAAAAAATTAGTGTCAAGATGTTAGTGAAAATTCAAATAACACGCAAAGTTTATTTTTGGCAAGAAATAATTTTTCAAAAGATGAAAACATTTGGTATTTAGATATTGAGTGCAGTAATCTTGTGTGGAAAGAAATTGTTTTCTTTTCTAGATGAAACAGTGAAGTCTATAGCAAAATTTGGCAACAAGACCAATATTCTAATTTTAGGATCGAATCACGAGTAAACTAAAAGATGGTACTCATAATTTCATCGCTAATGTTTTATATGCTCTCGGTCTTCATCACAATCTATTGAGCATGCGACAACTATTATAGAAAGGCTATAACATGCAGATTCATCATGGAATTTGCAAATTGATTAACAAGAATAAGAGATTTATTGTCAAGGTAGAAATGACTCCAAATTGTTTATTTTCTTTGAAAATTCAACATGAAAAATGTTCTTACTTGCGTTATGTCATACCAAATGATGATTGGTTATGACATATGTATTTTTGACACTTTTATTTTTCTAGATTGAATTATCTATCAAAAAAGGAATATGTGTGTGGTATGCCTATTGTAAATATTTCCAATAGTATTTGTGAGACTTGCCCATTGGGAAAGAAGCATAAAGAATCATTTCTTACAAGAAAATCATAGAGAGCAAAGAAGCTATTGCAGATTGTTCACTCGTACTTGTACATAGTTCAAATTCCAACACATGGTAATAGCAAGTACTTTAATATCTTTATTGATTATTTTAACAGAAAAATGCGTATTTCTTGAAGCAGAAATTAGAAACTTGTGATGCCTTTAAGTCATTTAAGGCATTTGTAAAAAATAAAGTGGTTGTAATATTAAAGCACTGAGGATAGATAGAGGCTAAAAATACCTTACATGTGTAGATTTCTTTGACTAGCACGAAGTTCAACATCAGTGAACAACAAGATACATTACTCAGCAAAATGAAGTATAAAAAAGGAACAAGGTGAGATGCATGTTAAAGGCGAAACAAGTACCCAAAGAATTTTAAGCAGAAGTAGTTACTATTTTTATGTATATTTTGAATAGGTACCCAACAAAAAATGTTCAAGACATGACATCAGAAAAGCTTAGGGCAGAAGGAGACCACCAATTCGACATCTCAAAATTTTTGGGTGTATAGCATACGCCGATGTACCAGATCTGCTAAAGAAGAAGCTTGATGATAAAGGATAAAAATGTGTTCATTGGCTATTATACAAATTCAAAGGCATGCAAACTTTACAATCCACTAATAAAGAAAGTAATTATCAGTAAATATGTGACATTTGATGAAGAAAGAGTATAGGATTAGTTCTTAAAGTCCTAAAAAAACTCATGTTGATTTCTGACAGTTATGAAAAGAAGATAGATAAGCATATCTAGCATCTCATGTGCTAGAATCCTCTAGCAGACCACAAAGTTGTAATTAATTACTAACCAAATTATAGGACTATGTTGTGGATAATGATAATGACCTATCTGATGAGGAGATTATCAATTTTACCTTAATTTCAAATTATGAGCCAATGACTTTTGAAGAAGCTACAAATTATCAGCACAGTGAAAAGGATGCACAAAATTTAGTACAAGCACAACAGAGAAATTGATCGCTTCAAAGCAAGGTTAGTAGCAAAATGGTACAAGCAAAAGTCTAGTATTAATTATTTTGAGGTATTTGCTCCTATTGCGAGATTATATACAATTTGTATAATTTTATCTATTTCAACTCAAAATAATTAGAAAATATATCAAATGGATGTTAAATTTTCCTTTCTAAATAGTACTTTGGAAAAAGAAGAGTATGTTGAGTAACCAACAGAATATATGATTGAAAAAAAAAAGAAGATAAGGTCTATAAAGCATTGTATGGCTTGAAACAGATACTCAAAGTATGGTAGGAGAATATTCTTATTATATACTTTTATATTATCAAAGTTGTTGATCTTATAATATTCTTATTATATACCTTTATGTTGATTATTTAATCTTTGTTGACAATAATCTAAAGATGATTGTAAAATTTAAGGAAGTTATGATTATATGCTTTGAGATAACAAATTTAGGCTTAATGTCATATTTTCTTAGCATTAAAATAGTTCAACAAGATGATGAAATTTTCATTTTTTAAAAGAAATATGTTGAAGACATTTTACAAAAATTCAAGATGGAGAATTCAAAGTCAATCTCTACACCAGTTGAAGAAAATTTGAAATTGACAAGAGATAGTGATGAAAAAAGAGTTTACTCAACATACTATAAAAGCTTAATTAGAAGTTTCAGATGTTTAACTGCCACAAGACCAAATATTATGTTTGGAGTTAAATTGTTCAACAAATTCATAGAAGAGCCATGTGTTTGTCATTTGCAAGGAGCAGAGAGAATTATAAAACATATGAAAGGTACTTTAATTGAGGGAATTTTTATGTTAGTAATAATGATGTAAAGCATGTTGGATATAAAGATAGTAATTGGGTAGGAGAAATTGAGATAAGAAAAAATACCGTAGGATATGCATTTCATTTAAGAACTTGTGTAGTTTCATGGTCTTCAAAAAAATAGGTAATTGTTACACTTTCTACTACTGAAATAAAGTATATTGCAACTACCAGTTGTGCTATGCAAGTCGTATGAATGAGAAGAATGCTTAAATGATGCATCAAAAGTAAAATACTTCCATCAAGATATTTCGTGATAACAAATTTGCAATTACACTATGCACAAATCTCATTTTTCAGAAATAATCCAAACATATTGATATCCGGTTCTACAAAATTTGAGAGCTAGTAGCTAATAAGAAAGTGAAAATTAATTACTATCATACTAAAGATTAAATTTTAAATATGTTCATAAACTATCAAAAGATTGAGTTATTTTATAAATTAAAAAAAATTAGAATGATATACGCTTAATTTAAGAAAAATAATGTTAAAAAATTTTAATCAAAAGCTATAAAACTGTGAGCGCTTACTAGCCACACTAAAACAATCAAAATTACTTACACCTGTAACGCCACATATTAAAAAAAAATAGGAGATTGAAATTGAATTGTGTGCTCTGCCTTTTTACATTTCACAAATTGATATACAGGAAAATTTGTTTTTATTTGTACATGATGACTGGTTAGTAGCCATAAGAAACTGTTGTCGATTGCATTGATTGAGGCCAACAGCTTTGCATAGAGTTAGCTTAGCAATTAAGAATAATAATGTTATTTTATTTAAAATATTTGCCTATAAAAAGTCAAATTTTGTATGTTGTTATACAATATAAGAATATTGATGAATAAATATCAAAATGAAAAACTCTTTCTTCTATGAATCTTCTTTAGTGTGCTAGAATTATGAATAGTCAATTTATAACAGTCAAACTAGTTTTAGAATGAATATTATTATAAGTTAGTTAATAATTATATTTAGCTATTTGCTTAGTTTATTTTATCTTATCATTTTTCTACAATCCTCACTAAATATGTTATAGTAGTAACTATCTGTTTAATAAATAAGTTTATCTCATTAGTTAGAATTTTTTCATACCCCACTGTTTTAAACTATCATAAAATGTAATTCAAAGATATTGAATAATTATTTTAATTATTATACCATTTTGGATTATTGCATTGATGCTATATTATTTATTTTAATCATACATTGTTTACTCTATATTTTTTAATTACTAATAGAATTTTGACTTATAATTAAAAATTGACAGGAGTTTAAAATAACTAATAAATTAGAAATTATAATTATCTAAAAATATACTTTTGGCCCTAAATTTTCAAATTTTAATTTTATTAAATACTTTTAATTTAATAAATTAAGTTTTTACCTTGAACTTGATGCGCCAAAACAAACAACAATCAATTGGTAATTTACTTATTCATAGATGTATTTTGACCAGTACATGAAATATATCCAGCTCAAGCTCTCAGTGTCAGTGGAACACATAAAGTAATATAAAATATTTTATGTCACAAGTTTGAGTTTATTTAATTTTTATAGGATAAAATCAATGTAATTTTATTTTGAGTGTTCTTAGGATTTTTTTTATGAATATAACGTTGTTTGTATAATACAGTTGTTTTATTAACTTATATACTATTTTTATTCTTAAAAGTATATCAACTCTTTTATAGTGTATGTAATTGTTTCATATTTATCCAACTTTTTTGAAATATTTATTTTCAATTTAACTCATCAGCCAAAGATATCACATATATCACTGACCAAGTCATCCGCACAACATGTTACCACCATGTTCCTTGCTCCTTTGTTTCATTACTCGTGCAATATTCCAATCAAAGCAGTGTAAAAGAGGGGCAGAATTAAGACAAAAATTTGATAGATGGTTAAAAAAAATATTGATTTTTTTTTATTTTACTATCATCGATTAAAAGATTAAATTTTATTGTACTTGACTACTTGTACACTAATTTTTTTCAGCTAATATCACTGAGCATAGTTGTTAGAACAACTCCTTAAATTAGAGTTGGTGGCTATATTTTCTTTGAAAAATGCTTATTTGTTTGAATTAGTGTCGTATGAAAATTATATACAAATCCAACCCCCTTTGATTTTCCTCAAAGTTATTTTATTTATTATTTTTTAATTCAATAACTGTCCAATGAATATTTTGTAATATATTTGTAGAGAAAACACTTTCATACTGTGAAGCAATGCTAAGATAAATTTATTTAATAAAGTACAAAATTAGGATATAACATAAGAGATATTATTGGTTCTGATCTCTAATTAAAATCAGCAATTTAATCTCATTAATCACTGCCGATTTTAGTTATTGAGATAACGTAATAGTTACCAAGATAAATATAGATATTCATATTGAAGAACGCCACCAATATTTCTTTTCTTTTCTTTTTCAATCTCTGCTATTATATCATTTTATTTAAGATTTATTCTTTAACTATTTTGTCGTGCACGTTGAAGAATAATAATTATTGGCACTTGCACCAAATTTATTTACAGATTTCTTCGAATATCATTAGATCGGTTTTATCTAGCATGGTCCACGTCTAAAGTTTCTTATGTGAAGCAATTCAATTTTTTTCGCAGGATATATGAATATAAAAATCGACGGTCATGATCAATGGAATTTTTATATATTTTAATCCGTAGCAGTGATGATACTTCGATGTTGAAAGGGTCAGGGTATTGGTAATGATAGTCTGTTTCCTCAAATGATCAAAGTGGATTTATGATTATAAATATTGGTTCATTTCTTCCTTTTCTTTATAGAATCGCCTCTTAATAATAATAATCTGAGGTTTTTCTTCTTTTTTATGTATTTTGGTGCTGTTAAACTGCATGTTTTTTCAGGCAATTTTGGGTCTGAAGTTTATATAATGCTAATGATATTACATCCATTTACTGTGACATGAAACTTGATTGTATGTGCTCCATCCGAGTTATTTTTCATTATGGTATCTTTTGTTTATTTAATTATATAGTATATTTGTTTAACATCAGAACTTGCCAAGAAGAGGAGGAACTCTTGCTCTGTACTGTTAGACGTTATTGTGTATAACAAACCTTAACATATTAAATAAATGGATTCAGATACAATTTTATTATTCATAAGTACCAATAAAAAAATATCATCAAGAACTATATAGCAACAAAATTCAAATTGGCACACATAAGAAAGTTGTAACCTTCCCAATGCTAAAATCCACCATTTACTCACAAACTGGGCTTTACTTTTCCATTTTTCATTTTTCATTTATTCAGATTATGTACATATGTCAAGACCGAAAAAAGAAAAAATATGCACATATGCCGCATTTGACGTCATAAAAAATTAAAAACAATCAAAATCGTATAATGGCGATGTTTAAAGATAAAAGGTAAATAAATAAATAGTGATTATGCATGGGATTTTAATTGACCTAGTCAAACTTTCATTTCATTGTGTTTTCTCGGAAGACAATTTTGTACTGCTTGCGCACGTGAAAATTTATTTTAATTAATAAAGCGATTAATCAAAGTATTACAATAATCTAATCAGTAATCTACCTATTGTTAACCAAGTATCAGAACATAAGTAGATTGTTGATTAATTGTACGAAAATTTTGGTAAAATTCGTTTGATACTTGACTATTTTGATCCATTTTCATTCTCAAAAGGAGAGGAGTTAGGTAATTGCCATTCTATCCCTTACTAGTTACTACTAGGTTTCTCGTTTAGGAAGCCTCAAACCATACTAAAGGCCAAAACTTACTGCAGCATCATCAATTGTGACTTAACTACTGTTACATTATTCATAAGTCATTATCAAGTTGACCAAAAAAAATTATGTCAACTGATCTTGCTGCAACTTTTTTTTTTTCATTTTTTTTATCAATAACATTTAAAAGAACAACCTTTAAAAGAATGCTATTTTATCGGTGACCATTAAAAGAATAATATTTAAATATTTTATATAGTAAGGGCATTTTCAGAATTATCACGAGGAATATGTGTCATGAATCAAACATACTTTAAAGTTATTCTCAGAAATTCCGAAACAGGTTCCCAGTAATTTCAAATATTAAAATTGATTTTTCTAAAGCACTCAAAATTCTTGCCACAATATTCCAAGGAATGTAATTAGAAACGTTTAGACAAAGGTTTTCTTCAGAAAATATAAACATTAGATGATATGATACCTTCTAGCTAAGTCGAGATGTTATAAACATACTTTGATTTGGATGAAAATTTCACGATGAGTACACTATTTCCATTCTGAAGTTGCAGCACCTTTGTGTGATTGTCAAACAGTATTTTCAGTATAGTGTCCATTAAACGAGCAGATGCCATAATGTAATGGTTACACTTATTTGTAGGTCATACCGTGAATTATTTAGAAAAAGGATTGAAGGAGAATCTTCAAGCACTAATGAAACTACAGAAAATTTATTTTCCCTAACTCAACTGTACAAATCTGATAAATACAGCTAGCTATATGTATCCACAAGTAAATGGAATTTATCAATTCTTATTCTACACATACCAGATTCCTATTGTTGCTGAATTTTGTTGATGTGTGCTGTGTGATGAAAGCCAAACTATTAAGTGGATAACCACCAAAAGTCATTGTGACTTGTGCACTCTGAATTAACTTTGAAAAATTGGTAAACCTTGTCAAACAATTTAGAGAAACAATCAGCCTGCTTCAATAGCAACTCCTGCCACAATTCCTGTATCAGCAGTTCACAAAATCAGTTATTAGGATCTATAACTATAAACCAAGTTTGATGTTTCATCGGGCAACAAAACTGCAATGAGAATAAACTGTCACCTCCCAAAAGAAATACAGGGAAATAAACCTGCTGCTCAATTACACTGCTTCACCTAATTTAGGCAGACAGCTATACAAAAAAGACCAACAATTCCTAGGCCTATGCATGCATATTTAATGGCGAGTGGAATGGAATGGATTTACCATTCTATTGTTTGGGTGTTTGTATGCTGGAAAGGAAATAGGAATGGTGCCATTCCATAGCCCCAAACCAGAAGAGAACAATTTTAAATTCTAGCTAGGTCTTTGTTTCTTGTGACTCTGAAGTTTCAAGCTATATGGGCACATAAGAAAGAAATAAAACAGATCAGTGCTCAAGCAAGCAGTTGCAAGTTCACTATCAACACATGTAATACAGATGTAATTCAAAAAAAATGGTCAAAAGCAGCTTGAATAGTAACTTCAAAAGAACAAGATGTTTTTCAACTAAAAGCTCTTCTTGCAGCAGTTCTGGTTGTATACTTTTCTGAACACATAATAAGCTAATCTAACCATACATTTTGTCTCATAGAAAGATGGAACATTGAAATAGGACTGTAACTCTAGATAAGAAGTCAGCAGAATTGATATCATACAAGCAATTACCACAATCATTGATAATTTAATCAACAAACAAACAACTTGTACAGATTGACTAAGACTAAGGTAGTTAAATCGGGATTCCAGGGGTAAATCGTAAGATCTGTTTTTTAAATCATAAATTGAATCGTAAGATTTAAGATCAATAATTTAAAACATAAAAAACACAAATATAAGGGCATGGTAACATAAAGAAACATCAAAACATCTAATATATTAACATTTTGAAGTCAAATAGTATATAGCTAACAACGTGACATACACTTGTAAGCAAGTTAGGATTCAAATCATAACATTCAGTTACATTAACAAAAAAAAGTGACTGCTCAAATTTAACATATAGCCTTTCAAAAAGATAAACAAAAACTTAGGAGGACCCATTTGTCTCCCCAAACAGCAAACAACAAGCAAAAAGAGTAGGAGAAGACAAATAGAAAATCGGAACCGTCGCAAAGGAAGGAGGGACCACCAGAAATCTTGAGTAGAGAGTGAGAAGTTGAGAGAACCACAATAATACACTAGGAGCCAAAGAAAATAGCATCCAAACAGTGTGGAGAAGTGGAGTAGAGCACGGGAATGAGAAAACAAAGCCTTTCTCTGAATATAAAGCAGTGGGTTGACCGGCAGAGGGAGTATCAAGTGGAAACCTCCCTTTTCAGATAAAAAATTAAAAAAAAAGGTTGTTAGGCTTTTTAGTGAACTAGGTCACGCTGACCCGACCCAATTTGCAACCCAACCCAATTCATGCACGACCCAGTTTGTGCCAGAATCATGCACCACCATTCACAATCGCAATTCAGCCCCAATTCGTGTGATTCATGCAATTCCAGCAATGATTCCGGATGAAATTGATTCTCCCCTACGATGCATATCCCTGAGTTAAGGAACTGAATTGAATCGGTAGTATCATATCACGAATCGTGCAATACTAACTATCATGGCTAAGACAACCATATCATTCTGCCAAATGATAAAAATATTAAATATACTTCCTATAACTCACTGAAAACACTTGAAATCATTGAAAAATAACTAATATCAATTTCTAGTAGATTAAGTCTGTTTTCTTAAGGATCAACTTCATTCCTATAAGAAAGAATGGATTCTTTGCTATGTAGATAAACAGCCATTTCTCCAATGCCTACATGCTAAAGTAGAAACCATAATACTGTACATTTAAAGAACAATAAATTAGCAATGACTTACCATTTATGCACTATGTCACACCAAGTTTTGTCTCATGCAGATGATCTTTGGTCATCGCGTTGCTCCTCTTGTCAATATTCTTTTCTTTGTCAAATTCAAAGTCAAGTTGTTTCTCCACAGACTTGACAACTGCTGTTCGCTTGGATCTTAACCTGTATGGCGGGGATGCATCGAATGCCCTATTATTCAGAATGGCACTCCCATTGGCATGCCTTGCGGGGGTCTCAGAGAACCTGCCAGAACCAGAATCATCCTTGTTTCTCTCTGATTCATTCGAGGTGCGTGGATCATCATCCACTTTCAAGACTTTACTAGGACAGGTGAGTGATTGGACTGCACTTTTTCTCCTCCTCAATATGGAAGGAGTATTTGGAAAAGTATAAGCTGCCTTTTTCAATATTGATTCAGGTGTCTCTGTGTACGAATCACTACTCTGGACTCGAGGTGGAGTCAAGAAACCAATAGGTGACAACATTGGGTTCAAACAGTACTCATTCTGCTGGCAAACAAAATTTAAATAGAGAGAATCTAAAGGAACTGAACCATCTAACTGTGGTGGCTCATAACACAAAGAACCACAGGTTGGACTTTCTTGTGAAGATGTTCTGATTAACCTGGTACTGCTCATTTCACCATTAGTTGTACAATGCTCAAAGGTTGAGTTTCCATTGGGTCTAGAATTCTCAGATATTGGCCCATAAGTTATTCCAAAATTAGCTCTGGACACTTGTTCTGAGTTGCTACAGCTAAGATCAATGTTGGATGATCCAGGCTTGCATTCTACACAGTCAGAATCAGCAGATTCATTTGCAGGAACACTTGAAGAATCACCAACTTCTCTAATTGTTCCAGATGACTCAAACTGATTTCTGCCATTGTCATCTAACTTACTAATGGCAGTAGTTTCAGATGATGTTTCAACAGCTGCATTTAATTCTTTATTTGAACAAGCAAGTATTGTTTTAGAAGCAGAACGTCTAATTGTATCTTTGACAGAAACTTGCGGATTGTTCTTCGGAATTGGTGGAAGTCTTCCTGTAGTTAAATAAAAATCCAACTTTTTCTTCAAAGAACTATTCCAGTGATTTTTTATTGCATTATCAGTCCTGCAGAAAAAAAATTCACATGGAAAAATATTAACATTTGTCACAGAATAACTTAAATGGCATCCCATATCACATCACAAGATATATCATGTACTAGGAGGTTGTATAACCAACATATTGTGCCATCCTTCTTACACAACATTATTGTGCATTTATGTTCTTTTTTGTTTCATGTTTCAGTCTTAAGTTAAAACAATTCCTATTCCTGTTTCTATGTAGTTTTTTCTGGTTGTCTTAATGAATTTCTTGTTATATTTTAAAACAAAAAGTGTCAGTACTGAGTAGAATATTTCCTCCTCTTATAGAGAGCAAGAGAAAAACATCCAAGTACCACCACCCCCCCTAAAACAATATAAAAAAACTTCACAATTCACATAATAGCATAAAGATTCGATTCCATGAATTTTTATATGACCTCAATTTCCTTTATAACAACTTAAAAAATAATGAGAATGCAGACCTTCCAGGAAGGACCTTAGCTATTTCAGCCCATTTGTTCCCATATATACGATGAGCATTCATAAGGGCTAATTCCTCCTCCAAAGTCCAGGCATCCTTCTTTATGTCAGGATTAAGATGATTGTGCCACCTAAAAACATTTGAAAAGAAAAAACCAGAGTAATTAGAAAATTCCGTATGCAAAGCAAGTTTTACAAATCAAATCATCACTTTAATCTTATGAAAATTCAGATGGAATGAAGATCTTCAAAAGTTGAAGGTGATATGCAAGAAACAATTCTAAAATTTATATTTAACGATATGGAAGGCAACATCATTTATCATTAAAAAGGATCAAAAGAAATAACTATTACATGATCTTCAATTAACCTACCGCTCTCGACATTGTTTGCCTATTCGTCCAGGTAAAGACTTGGCTATCAAAGACCATTTTGTAGGCCCATATTTTGACACCAGCTCAACAATTTGATCATCCTCCTGTAAGCGGTGCATAAGAAGTTAATGCTTGAATGAAATTGTAGGAAAAATTCAAAAGAAGAAAAGGACTAGGTTTCAACCTTCTGTGTCCAAGGTCCTTTAACAAGATCAGGATTAAGAACTTTTTGCCATCTGTGAAGACACTGAACTTCTGATCTATCAGGAAAAAACTCAGCTGCATTTCACATTTTAAATTAGTGTCATGTAAGTGAGAACAATGCTATCATCAAAACCAAATGAACAAATTTCCAATTCAAGGATATGACAATTCTCCATTACAGAACAAATTACAAACAAACATTATAATGAAAGGCAAAAATCGAGTTTCAAAAGTTTTAATTTTATTTGTTTCTCATGCTAACTTTTCTGAGTTCCAAAGAAGTTGAAAACTAACTATAAACTACCTTCATGAGTCAACCTTATGTCTTTCAAATTGTATAAATCTTTTTCAAGTGCACTATTCTATGGCTCCACTCTAGTAACAATAAAACCATCAATAATAATTAAATAATTTGTTAATAACAGCATAAAAGTTTCATTGCATATGGTTTTCATGTTCCTTAAAGATTAAAACACCACCAGGTGAATCTTCTATGAGTTCTATCTGAAAACAGATGAAGGATGGGTCTGCTTAACTAATTGAAAACACTGATGAGGAACTGTGCAAAACAATATTTATCATGTTACTTATGAATTTTAGTTAAATTAATCTAGAAATCTGCAATCATATCTGTGCAATTCAAGTATCTCAGGTAACTTCAAGTATTCACTCTGGTAATAATCAAGTATGCATCGCAGTTATAAACTTGTAAACCACATTGAAAGGTCATCGCTAAATTAATGAACTACATATCTCCACGGTCAAAGCAGTGTGGCAATAACAAGTGATGCCAGAGGCACTAACTAGGGTAAATATAAATAGTACCGATTTTCTTCCAACTCTTTCCCTTATAAGCTGCAACAGCATTCCTTAATGTCTCATCCTGCAGCATTTTGAAGAAAACATAAAGAGAAAATTAGTATCATTAGTTTGTGTAGAAGCAGTGATAAATGACAAGGACAAGCATAACACATCTTGGACTACATTTACACAAAATCAATTGAGCAGAATTAATTATTTAATCAGCTTGCTTGCAAGCCATAACATATTTAACCAAAAGTTATAAGTAAAAAAGAATAGCCGTTTCCAGAGAGAACTACTAACCTCCTGTGCCGTCCAGCCACCCTTAGCACGCCTTATAGGGCCAGTGGTCCTACTGCACCAAAAATACTCATATGATGAAAATCAATGGACTGAAGTTCACAGCAAAGATTAAAATTGGATGAAATTTCAAGAGTATAATGGCAGAAAAGATAGGCATAAAACATGAGTAAACCACACGGCCCACAGGGTACAATATCATGACCATGATTCATGACTAATACTGCAATGAAAAGGTAAAGAACTTAATGGATGTTACCGATGCGAAGGCGATGTGGATGCAGGGCTACATATCCCTGGAGACTTGTGAATTGCACTGCCACTGCCTTCAGATACTGATGAGCAAGAAGCAGCAGTGGATTGCTTATTCTCCTGACAACACTCTTCTGATTTCTCCTCAGCCATACCCTTATAAAACCCAAAATCCCAATCCTAGTCAACAAACCAATGCATAAATATTAAACGAAAACGAATACAAAACAAAGCAAAAATCCCCAGAACAACCAACCATAAAAAAAACCCTAAAACCCCAGCTCAAATTGAAAAATTTACCAAACATTCAAAGTGAAACACAAATTCAATTACAACCCAGATCTTAGAAATTGTTATCAGATCAAAACCTTCAACCCCCCACTCCCTCTCCTTCCAAAAGGAAACATATATCAAACACGGAACGTTCCAACAAAGAGCAATTCGAAGTCCTTTGTTGGAAAATAAACGCAAGGACTCGATCAAATTAATAAAAACAAATTAATAGCTGAATTTTGCGGAGTAAATAAAAAACAGAAACAGAAAAAAAAAGAAAAAAAAAACAGAAATCAAAAACAAATATCGTGAATTTCTCCGAACAGTGAAGTACCTAAGCTTGCAGAGAAGTGGCGGGAATCGAAGTGAAGCTCATAGAAGAGAGACCAGGATTGCTTCTCTCTCTCTCTCTCTCTCTCTCTCTCTCTCTCTCTCTAAGCTAAGGTTTCGAAAAATCCTCGAACGTTGAAACAATGGAAAATTGAAATTTAATTAAAAAAATAGAAATTCAACTTTATTCATTTATTTATATTTTATTCACTTATTTATATATGTAACGCATACACATATAATAAAATGTGCGCACCGACGTCGCCGTTAGGTACCGTTACTGGTGCGGGGTGTTGTTTTCAGAGCCCGTCAGTTAACGGCTGTCCCTAAACGTTAGGGGAACAAAAGTTTGAAACTCAAACGGCAACGGCACTCAAGGCGTGACGGCGATAAATGTCGAACAAGTTTTAGGAGCAGATTAGTTTCTAATTGATTTTCAGCCGTTAGATGAGAAAAGTGGTGACCGATGTGAGGTTTAAGAAGGAAACGTTCTAACTAATTTGAAGGATTAAAAAGATGTATTGATTATCAATTAATTTGTTAGGATTGAAAAAGATGTACTGTATCTTCTAAAAAATCTATCAAACAATATATTTTATACTTACTTAATTTAAAATATATTATAATTTTATTCTACTAAAGTTAAAAAAAAATCTGTTATTTTGACAACTTTTTTATTTTGTAAAATACTTTTTACAATCAAGTGATGATTTAAATTTGATAAAGGATTACATAACATCCTCCTAACTTGAGAATTAATTTTTTTAAAAAAATATGAATAATTAGGTCACAAATATTTTTTATTAAAGAAATCTATTTAAGTCAACTAGGACCACTCATTTAAATCATTTATTATTGTCTTATTAATAAATAATATATAAAAAAAATTATGATAGTAAAAAATATAATTAAATTAGATAAGATTATATTTTTTATTAAATTTAAATAATAAATATTAACCTATAAATATAAATTATGAGTACTAATTTTTAATGTAAGCATTTTTAAGAGTATTCTTAAGCTTTTAAGGATTAGTTTTTTTCATCATGTCAAATTATCTTTTATGCATTATGTATTTATTTTTTTAATTATATATTCATTTAAATGTTGAGTTATTATAATTTGTTTGTAATTTTATTTAATATAATAAAATATGTATTATTAAAATTATAATATTTAATTTTTAACATTTATTAAATTCATAAAAAATAATATGATGTATTTTTAATTATTTATTTAAAAAATTAATTTAATTCAATGATTCTTATATAGGGCACGAAAAAATTATTAATTATAAGAGTGGTTTTTTTTTAGTAAAATTTATATATCTTTCCTCTGATATGATACAATAATTTAACAATTAAAAAATATAAAAATAAATTATGTCTTATTGTAAAATTAAAATAGACAAATAAGAGAATAAAGAACAAAAGTTAAAGTGAGAGAAAGAATTTCAATTTTATTCAATATAAATAAAATGTTCTATTTATGAACATAAATTTATAATTCAAGAATCTTACTTAAACATGAATTAAATAAATAAGTTTTAGTTTATAAACTTTTAAAGAATACTAGTAAATATGTTCGTGTGTTGCACAGGTTTATTTTATTTTTATTAAATTAATTTATTTTAAAATAAAATATATAATTTAAATATAAATATATGAATATGTTAAAAAAATTTATTATATTAAATATAATTACCTTAACGAAGATTATGAAATATTTTTTGTATATTTTATATATTTTTTATTTTTTTAATAATAAATATTTTTATTTCTTTTATTGATATTATTTTAGACAATGCAACATATAATTAACCATAATTAAATATAGGTTTTGACAAATATAATTTAACATAATTTAATGATTATTTTTTATTAAGAGTCTTGTTTCATTGCACATTCTTAATGTGAGATTGATGTTCCTCAGAAATATAATTGTCATTTCTTCTTTGAGTTGCAAGTAATTAGGAGAAAATCTATTAAAATTTAAAGTATTTAAAAATTCTACGGGATACATCAACTTTTGTTTAATGATTTGATTTTATTTATCACTTATAATTTTAAAAAAACTATTAATAAATAAGTAAGCATAATTTTAATTTATAATTTGTATGATAAAATATTAATTATAAAATTAGTTATGATAAAGTGTGTAATTGAATTATATTAATAAATAAATAAGCAAATATCATCACAGTTTATAATATTAATACTAATATATAAATGAATAAATTTTTATAATTATTCTCTAATTAAAATAAGGAAGTAAATTAATTTTAAAATATGAAATAATTTTAAATAATTATTTGTTAATGTAATAATAATAGAATTAATAAAATTAAGATAATATTTATTAAAATAATAATAGATTTAATAATATGTTGCATCTTAAACAACCAATAAATAAATAAAATTTTAATTTAAATAAATATATATATATATATATATATTATACTGTCATTAAAATATTTATTAGGTATGTAATTATTTTAAAAAATATAAATATAACTTGTTTTTCTCCTACAAAAGCATGAATAATAGTGATAGATTTGATACAAATTAACCTGTTAAAAATAAAATTTAATGCATGATATCATTTTAAAAAAAATACAGCTTTATACTTGCTCAAAAAATTAAATTGAAATATATAACACAATTTAGTGAAACAAACTAAAAAATATCAAACTCAAAAATACATGTACTTATGTGGGTATATAATTATTGACCGCTAACATGATTGTAAAATACAAAGAAAAAGGATAATAATAGAAAGAACGTGAGTAGTTTAATAAAATTGTGTAAACATGACTTATATAAATAAAATGAAATCCTACTTATTGATATATGAAAAGTCAAAAAATAAAAAATTAATATAATAAAAGTTATCTTTTCATTTGTATTATAGTTTACTTGTCTTTTCATTAGAAATTTAATCTAACAATATATAATATAAAAGAATAATTAACATTCAAATGTTAAATAGAAGTTAAAAATAAATATACATTTTTATTTATAATTAAAAGATAACTCAAAAACTTCATCAAATTTTCTTAAAAGTATTTTTGTATAATTTAATTAATATTATTTTTTCTATTTTTAACATTTAACATAAAAAATTGAAATTTATTTAAATTATTTATAATAAATTTTAAAATTTTTTTATTAAATATTACTTACAGTAGTTTTGTTATTATCATTTTTAACATTATATAAATATCAATTATAATAAATTTTTTGTAAATACAATTTAAAAATAACAAATATGAATTAATTATGATTATAATTCTTAAATTATAAAAATTATTAAAGTAATTTTAAATTATCTTATTTGATCTTAACAATATATAATATAAACTAATAATTATGTAAGTATAATTTTTTTATTTTAAAGTAAGTTTTAATTTTTAAAATATATATTAAACTATATATTATATTAACATAATTAATAAAATAATTTAAATTTATAAACTTATTTTTTCATTAGAAATTTAATTTAACAATATATATTATAAACTAATAATTTGATAAATGTAGTATTTTTAATTCAAATTACAATTTAGTTTTGTGAATAAATATTGAAAAATAGATTATATTAAAATATTTAATAAATTAATTTAAATATTTAAAATTATATTTTGATTAGAAATTTAATTTAACAATATATAATATAAACAAATAATTTTATAAATGTGTTTTTTTATTTAAATTATATTTTAATATTTGAAGTACATATTAAAATATAGATTATGTTAAACTAATTAATAAAATAAATAAAATATAAAAATTTATCTTTTATTATAAATTTAATTTAAAAACATATAATATAAACTAATAATTTTGTAAGTTTAATTTTTTTAATTTAAAATATATTTTAGTGTTTGAAGTACATAATAAAATATAAATTATATTAAAATACAGCAATAATTTTAATTCATAAATTATAAAAATATTATAATCAATTTTAATAATGGTAATTTAAGCTAATTTATAGTATAAATATTTATGTTCTCGTTTGTAACATAATATAACCGTCAATACTAATAAACATTCTTTAAATACAATTCAAAAATAATAAGTGTAAATAAAATATAATTTTAATTCATAAGTTATACGTTTGAATTTTAATGCACAAAGTAATAAGTAAGTGCAGTTATTGCAAAAGACTTTATACATTCTGAATTTTAATGTATAGAGTAATAAGTAGATAAAATTACATATATAAAAATAACTTTTTACCTTTCAAAATTTAATACACTCAGTAATGAGTAGGTGTAGTCAATTTTACATAGATATATAGATATAGATAGATACATTAAAATACAGTAATAAATTTAATTCATAAATTATGAAAAATACTATAATTAATTTTAATAATGCTAGTTTAAGCTAATTTATAGTATAAATATTTATGTTGTCGTTTGTAACATAATATAACCATCAATACTAATAAACATTCTTTAAATACAATTCAAACATAATAAGTGTAAATAAAATATAATTTTAATTAATAAGTTATACATTTTGAATTTTAATGCACGGAATAATAAGTAAGTGTAGTCAATGCGAATGACTTTATACATTCTAAATTTTAATATATAGAGTATTAAGTAGATGAAGTTACATATATAAAAATAATTTGTTATATTTCAAAATTTAATACACTCAGTAATGAGTAGGTGTAGTCAATTTTACATGGATATATAGAATATAAATATAAATAAGAAGGTAGAAAGATGAACATTCACTTATAATAATAACACTTCCTTTTGAATTTTTTTGTTTAAAAAGTTTCTTCAATAAAATTTTATCAAGAAAAATTTTTCTGGAATAAAAACTTAGTGTCTGCTATTAGACATTGTTCCATTAAAATCTTACTAGGAAAACTTAATGGACAAAAGATCATGGTAAAGGAAAAATAACTGTTGAACATGTTTATTTCTTCTTTTGTGTAGACAACTATCTTTAAGACAATGAGATCCAATCTTGTAAATTCGTTATTGAAAAGTTTTATTTGATAATAACTTTGAAAAAATATTTGTTAAATTCTCAAATAAATGAACTTGTTGAATTTTTACATTAGGCTTAATTATGTCTTTTTTCTATAAATATTTGGCATTTTGTGATAAGTCCTCATAACATTTTTTTTGTTAAGATTTAGTCCTTATAAAGTTAAAAAATTATGATTTAATCACTTTGTTAATTCTTTTATGTTAAGCGCTAAGCTGACTAGCGAAAAATCAGCTCAACACTCCACATGACACGTCATATCATTTATTTTTTATTATTTAAAATTAAGATTTACAAATAAGTTCATGCACCTATTTTATATAATTGCATAAAAGTCTTTTTCTTTTCCTCTTCTACTTCCAAACACCTTATTTGAGTACCTCTCTTCCATCGGTATCCCTCCCCTTTCTCCCACCTCTACTCCCTCCCCTTCTCCCTCTTCAAACCACCACTCCATCCCTACTTCCTTTACTTTCTCACACTCCTTTTTCCTCTAATATCCACACTCAATTTGCACCACCTCTTCCTCTTCCCCACACTCCTCTTTCTGCAACACCTTCATCTGCACCATCCCTCTCTTTCAGCCTTTTTCATCTTCTTACCTTCTTAATTATGATAAGACAACAAGATTTGCAATTAATAGAAAAAATAATGGTAAACAATTTTTATTGTTTTAAGTAATTTCAAGGCAAAACTAACGTATCCTCGAAGAATTTATTATTACATAAATTATGTATGCTAAATACTCTTTAAAAAAAATTAAGACGAATTCAAATCTAACAATTTTACTAAATTTTGATAATTCAACGTCTATGGCTATAATTTTTATGATCTTTTAATTTAAATCTTTTATTAAAATAAATAAAAAATATATAAATCATATTTTATCATCCTTAACTAAAATAAAGGGATAAGGTATTTCCTTAACTTAATAAATAATTAGTTGACATGTTTATTCTTTAGATTATATGAACTACTCTCATCCTTTACCTAATTTTGCTTGATTTTAGTAATCTATTTATTGAGTTTCTTTTTTTCTTTTTCTTATATTTCATTATTAAACTAAAGGAAAAGGCTAGATTTGCTTAGTTAAGTGAAAATGATCATTCTTTCTATTTATAGCCCAATTCTGACAAAAAATTAGGTAACATAATATAAGAGAGTTTTTCAAATTTTTTGTAAAAAAATTAGGGGTAGTGATCAAAAGACCAAGTCCCCCCAAATGTTTTCTCTTGAAAAACTTTATTTTGTGGTCCAATTACTTAGTTCTCTCACATTTTGATGACTTACTATTTTCCTAGTTAAGTTATCATTCTTAAGGTTCTGGACATGATTTTGTAACTTGATTTGGCTATATTGATTAACAAGTTAACCAACTTGATTAAAATTTAACTATAGGATACTATAGATTTAAAGCTCCAATGATATTAACATATAATATGGTTTAAATTAAGGTTTAGTGTGATAATTGCACTTATCTTTTGTAGCCTTAAAACTTCTTTTCTATTGATGGAAGAGAAACGTGTTATGGAGACGTGAATAAGAGGTAAGAGAAGTAAAAAAATGAAAAAAAAGAAATTAAAAAATTCACTAGAGTTCAAAAGAAAGAAGAATATGAGTAGTGATTTTTTAAAAGAGTTAACATTCTTTTAAAAAAAAAAAAAAACTTTAAAATACTTTTGTAAATTAAGAGATGAAAAAAGAAAAAAGAACTAGAAAACTAAAATGAAACAAAATCAAAAGTTAAAAGACTAATGTACTAATTTAGTTTTTTATTAGTTATAAAATAAATAGATGGTACACTTTGCATTGAATTAAGTATTTGATGAATAAAATTTGAAATGTATCTTTTATCGATAGTTATAAAGAACAGAGTTTGTTGATCATTTAACAAACTTTAAGTATAGTTATGATACTAAAGTTCGTATTTTGTTCTTTTCTCCAAGTTTTATTATACCTATCCTTAGAAAGAGTGTAATTTTATAATTATCTTATTTATGAGATTATATAAGTTAAATAAAAATATTATATAATTTAATTTTAAAAAATAAAAAATTGTTATGAGAGTGACACATAACTTATAATATACTTGCAAAAACAATTTATAATATAAAAAATTATTAATTATATAATAAACACTTGCTACAAAATCTACTGGTACAAACTTTGTTTTATATAATAATATTAAATTAGATATTTTATGTTATTAATAAAATAATAATTAAATATTTTTAAAATTTATGTTTTTTATTTTTTACTTATATTTATAAATATTTTGACAATTGATAAAATCTTTGATAAAATAACTATTATTTATATATATAAAAGAATAAAATTTATTGATCATTTAATAAACATATAGTTATGATATTAAGGTTCATATTTTTTTTTCTAAATTTTATTATACTTATTTTTAGAAAGAATGTTTTAGAGATTCGTTTTCCGAAATAAATAATTTTGTAATTATTTTATTTATGAGATTATATATTTATAAATTAAATAAAAACAAAAATATTATGTAATTTAATTTTGAAAAAAATGTTATGAGATAATATGCTTGAAAAACTTGTAATATATAACAGTATCATGTTAGAGCTAATATATAGTTTGTTAAATTATTTTCTTTTTACAGATAACGAATGTGATTATATAACGTGTAACAATCAACGGGACATGATTGATTGAAGTAGTGCATGTTTGAATTTTTTTAAAATAGATTTTGAATTTGAAGTTTATATATAAAAAATTATGAAAAATAACTTTTTTTTATAACGTAAATACAAATTTTATTGGCTAGAACATATTATTACTATTGTGAAAATTTAACAAAATTATTTCACGTGAAAAATATTTATAGTTAAGACAAAAAAGTATAAATAAATAAACAAAATATTGTCTGTCTTACATGATTTTTACGTATAACATGATTAAATAATGCCTTGTTAACTTGAATATCATTGGAGAAATTTAGAAAATTATGAATATGTAAATTAAAAAGTTAAAGTAACATATAAATTAGTTTCAAAAAATATCATTTTTGCAGTTTTTTTTTTACTTGTACAAAGTGATTTTTTTCTATATCATATATTAAGTTTTATTCAATATTAATTTATATTTTGAATTTTTATAATTTATTATTAATTTTATTTAATATAGTAAAATATTTATTCTTAATAATTATAATTTTAATTTATAAAATAGTCAACTAATATATTTTAAATTATTTACTTATAAAAAAATTAATTTAATTTAATAGTACTGCAAAAAATTATTAATTATATAATAAACACTTACTGCAAAATCTACTGGTACAAACTTTGTTTTATATAATAATATTAAATTATATATTTTATGTTATTAATAAAATAATACTTTCTTAAATATTTTTAAAATTTATGTTTTTTTATCTTTCACTTGTATTTTTTTTAATTTCACTAAAATATTTTTATTAAAAATATTAGAATATACTAATTAACTGTCAATGCTTTTAATTGCTTAATCAAAATATATAAATTGTTTTTTATTTTTAAATTAAATATTTTTTTATTCAGTACCGAAAAGTATTAATGAAAATTCAACATATAGAATTATTTTAGTGAAAATTAAAATGAATATACATAAATAATATTTTTCAGTAGAAACCTTTTTTTTTCTTTTGAAGATAGACTCGTTAAATAAATAATAATAATTTGAATTCATATACTTTTGTTTTTCTAATGTTTGTCATTTTGTGAAAAAAAAAAATAGTTTATAGTTCTTATACAAAATTTTACAAACTGATTTCCACCATTTGTTTGAACTAAAATAATGTTAGTGTGTTTTTCATATAAGGTAATAAAATATGTCATGTATAAAGATAAATGTATAGAATTTTTACATGAAGGAAATAAAATAAAAATAAATTTAACTTTATGGTGGCTAATTTATAAAAGTGCTTTTATTTTTATAATGATCAATATATAATTCTTTTTCATGTAAACCTAAACAAAAGTGTGTGTTTTTTTATAAAAATAAGATATAGAAGATTCTTTTTATGTAAACCTAAATAAAAATTATTATTGATATAGTTCCTCATGTTTTTTTAATATAACTCTATCATGATTTTTAATAAATTTTTTTATCTATTTTTAACTAATTTATTAAAATTGCTACTTAACAAGATTCATTTTGTGTAACAACAAAAAATTACTAAATTAAAATTATTTTACTAAAATTATTTTTTATCCTATGTTTGATTTTATGTTAAAATGTTGCAGAATTATATTTATTTTATTATAATCTGATTTTCTAAAATCAAAGTTAATTTATTTTAAAATCACGTTTGGACCAATGTGATACATTATGTTTTTCTGCATTGATCTAAAAACTTTATAGTATTTTTTATTATAAATTTACTTCTAAGACAAAAAAAAAGTGAATACAAATCACATTTTTTGATTTTTTAAAAATAAAATTAATTTTACAAAATCAAATAAAAAATATTAACCACTACAGAACATGTAAACAAATTAATAGAGAGTTATTCTAATTTAATATATATTCTTGAGTTCAAATTCTAATAAATATAATTATATTAAATATTCAGAGAAAAAATTTATATCTAAAATAATATTATTTAATTCAAACAGAATTGTGTGTGAGAAAAGCTAGATGTGGTCTAGAAAAAAATATATAAATTATTAACTAATATTATAAAGACACTAACTAAAAAATTAAAATAATTGTCAAAAAATATTATCAATACACCACTTTCATAATTTTTAATACGCAAGAACATAATTTTAAATTCTTTCACAATACCTTTAACAAAAATCAAATAAAATTTATTTAAGAATTTTTGTTGTACCTTTACTAACTTTCTCTGAATAATTTATAAAATAATACATATATTACTTTAAAATATACTCTCTTTATAAACTAAAGTTTATAAACATTCTCTAAATGCACGCACAACATAAGGGGACCACAGTCTATATATACTTTTGTAATCAAAATTCAAATGAAAAGTGCCTCCAAATTTGCCTGCAAAGCCAACGGTCAAGTGTTTTCAAAAACTCTCCCTCTCTCCCCCTTTCTGTCTAATCTCATCAAACTCAACCTTGATTTCACCCCCACATTAAAATCTCCGAGAATTCTTATCAAACTGTCTCAAAGCTTGAATCTTTTATGCCTTCAATGGCTGCTACACTTGCCTTCTCCTCATCTAACACTCCTAAGAAACCCTCCAACACCACCATTTCAGTTTCCAAGGTCAGGGTCATTGTCAGAGTCAGACCCTTCCTTACACACCAAGTCACAGCCAAAAACGACCACCCCGTTTCGTGTATCTCCGTTTCGGACCAAGATTTTCACTCTTCACAAGACGAGGTTGCAGTTTATCTCAAAGACCCACAAACCAGGTCTCATGAAGTTTCCACCTTTTCATTGGATTTGATCATATGTGGTTATTCTTATTGTTTCTGTTTTTCTTGTTCTTTGATTTTAGCCGAAATGAGTGCTACCAGTTGGATTCATTTTTTGGGCAAGAAGATAACAATGTGGGTCAGATATTCTGCAGAGAAGTGAGCCCCATGATACCTGGAATCTTCAATGGCTGCAATGCCACTGTTTTTGCTTATGGGGCTACTGGCAGTGGGAAGACATACACCATGCAGGTGTGAGTGTCATCTTTAAGGAAATTTGTACTTCTCTTTGTTGTTTGAAAACACGTTAGAAAACCTGTACACTTGGATTTGTTATATCAATTATCATTTCAACGATCATCTTCTCCCATAATGTTATCCATGCTACCTAGAAATATCAAAATATTGATCAATTTCATTCTTTTAACTAATTGAAGAAGAATTTGCAACTATAAGTAATAGAGTTGACGTATACATAAATCTATTACCATTTAAATGTGAATCCAAACATGCTAGTAGTTTGGATTTTAAATTGCGGTTATAGTTGTGGCGGCTTTTGCAGGCTAATAATGTTGTCTGCAGATGAGATTTACGACCATGGCTTGATGTGATCTGCAATGTCAAAACCCTGGTTGCAGTATATGTTTTTTATACGTTGATTTTTGCCTAGATATATGAATTAGTTTGATGTTTTAGCAAAATGATTTTTGAGGTAAGAGGATAAGGATTTAGGATTAGTGTCATTTGAGGTTTGACGATAACGTGGATCCTGGTTATGTTTTTTCTAATACTAGCCTAGCAAGTAACCGTTATGGTTATGATTTTAAATTGTAGTTATGGAGATCTCAAAGGACACACAATATTGCTTCAATTGTTGTGGTTGTGGACCAAAATTGAGGATTTTGTAAAGTTTATCCAATCTTAGGTTGTGATTGAATAGAATAATTAAAGTACTACATTGTATATATTTGGATCATAAGAAAAAGTAGTTTTAAAATATTGTAGAATTTTAACTAGATAAGTTTTGTGTCATATAGAAAGAATTTCGAATGACTTGTCTTTAGAGAGAATTTTAAAATCTCTCTACAATGTTGAACTTGTTGTCTTTATCATTCATAACTCCTCCCATACTTTGACTCTCACTTTCAGCAACTCTCATTATTGATTTCATATTTTCTAGAATTTTAAATTCTTCATCCAAACACAACCTTAGAGTTTTTTAAATTGAAGGTACCAACTAGTAAATTTGAAGTTAGAGTTAAGAGGATGAGGAGATTAGGACCATATTTTATGTTTAATTAACGACAACATAGGTCCAGGTTATTTTTTTCTGAATGTTATCCTTGAAATTATGGGTGTGAGGAAGGTTGAAAAAATGTGTCTACCCATAGATTCTTGAAATTGTTACCTAGTGGTAAAATTTTACATGCTTGTGTTTAAATTTTTCTTTTTTCTTTTTTTGTAAGTTGCTTACTTACTTGAAATTAACTGACTGAAGCTTGGTCTTTCAGGGAACTGAGGAACAACCTGGGTTGATGCCACTGGCAATGTCCATGATCCTGTCTATTTGCCAAAGCACTGGCAGCACAGCACATATTTCATACTATGAGGTCTACATGGACCGATGCTACGATCTCTTGGAGGTCAAAGCAAAGGAGATTTCAGTTTGGGATGACAAAGATGGGCAAATTCACCTGAGGGGACTATCTCAGGTTCCTATCAACACAATGTCTGAATTTCAAGATGTTTTCTCCTGCGGAGTTCAAAGGCGCAAAGTTGCACACACAGGCCTCAATGATGTCTCCAGTAGGAGTCATGGAGTGCTTGTGATATCTGTGTCCACTCCTGCTGATGGCACTGCATCTGCTGTGTGTGGAAAGTTGAATCTCATAGACTTAGCAGGTTACTTCCATACCATTTGGGATAAGGGTTTAGATGTCTTGCAAAGCACTCATGGTTATATACTTATGTGTTTAAGATTGAAGCAGGTAATGAAGATAACAGAAGGACCTGCAATGAAGGGATTCGACTCCAAGAGAGTGCCAAGATAAACCAGTCCTTGTTTGCACTATCAAATGTAATATATGCTTTGAACAACAACAAACCAAGAGTACCCTACCGCGAAAGCAAATTGACCCGTATATTGCAGGACTCTCTAGGGGGAACTAGTCGTGCACTGATGGTTGCTTGCCTGGTAAAGCTAGAGAATTTATAGTTTCTTTTCTTTTCTCATTTTCTGTTAGTGCACTAGATTTACATATAGACATGAGTAAGAGATTTAGTGTGTTTGAAAACACGTTGAAAAACTTGTAACTGTGGATCCAACGCAGAAGCTACAACTAATAGCCTTGAAATAAACGTGAATCCATATGCATTTCATCATGAAACCAAACACGCTATTATAAGTTGAAGATTTCTTGTTCCACCACAGGAGTGACCAAGAGAATTGTTTATTAGTTTACTTTACTTGTTAAATATGATTAGATTCAAGATTCTATTGTAGCCCTTTTCTATTTTGTTTTCAGAATCCAGGAGAATATCAGGAATCTGTTCATACTGTTAGTTTGGCTGCTAGATCAAGGCATGTCTCAAATTTTGTACCTTCAGCTCAGAAACAAGAGACCCCAAAAGTTAAAATTGATATGGAAGCAAAATTGAGAGCTTGGCTAGAATCAAAAGGCAAAACAAAGAGTGCACAAAGACCTGGAGCATTCAATTCTCCACTTGTGAAAAAAACTCCCAGTTCCATCATTACCCCTGCTACGAAATGTGTTACCTTTAATAGTTCAATGAAGGGGGGAAGAACTGCCATCAATCAAGATCCTCAACACACAAATGAAAGGTGACGAGTGGTCCTATTCTTTACATAATTTGTAAAAACATTTTCTCATTGATTTTCTGTGACATACTGGTTGTCTTACTGTAGCAGGGCCTTTGCTGTGGCTTTTGGAAATTTACTAGATGATGAAGTTTCTTTTGATTCTTGCATGGAGGTAAGTGAGTATCAAAAGTGCAATACATGTACTATAAGTTCACTGACACAATTGCTATGTCAATCATATTGAAAAAGACAAGCATTATCAAAAGAGGCAAGAAAAATTCCAACAAGGACTGTTCTTGTGTTCATATAAATATTTGAATTTTCATGCAAAGTGAAAAAGTCTTTGCATCTTGAATATAATAATATTTTATGCTCTGCAGAAGGCACATTGCGGTGTCACGGAAAATAATAACAAAGAGACTGAGCATGATGCCAATAAGGCTGCATGGGAATCATACAAAAAATTACCTGGTATGTCACTACCTAGTCAAATTATGGAGCTTAGTTGCAAGTTGCACTATCCAACCACATAATGGGGAAAATTTAGATTTATGGTATGTTATATGCATTGGTGGTTGGTATAGTCTCTCCTGTGCTTGCTAAAGCTTTTAAGGAACATGTTTTTCTATGTAGACGAGCCATTGAGCAAGGCGTTGAACTCAATTAGAAATGAGAGTAAAGAGGCAGTACAAAGTCCTTTAAGAAAAGCTCTCTCCCCCATCAACATCAATGGCAATCAAAAGCCCGTTGAGGCATTGTCTTTCACACAAACACCTTTTCTTGCAACCTGCTCCACTAATAAAAGGATGCAAGAGAATGACACTCCACTCGACAAATTCAGCACGCGAAGTTCTACACTGAAGGTACAGCTAGTTGTCTGACTCCACACAAAATTGGATTCCTTGAACCATCATTCTCACATCATCAATTTTTTAATATGCAGAACTGTTTAGTTGAAGAATACATTGATTTCTTGAATAATGCAAGCAGGTGAAGCAAACACTCTCCTTTGTATCTTGTGTACTTTCTTAAAGCATATCTAGTCTTTGAAGGAGTATTAACTATGGGTTCAATTCTTAAATGCAGAGAGGAACTACTTGAATTAAAGGTACATGCTGTGGATTGTCACAAAATGCTCCATATGAAGAGCTATTTTTTTTATGTTATTGTTTTCCTTTTTTTCATTTATTGCATCATTCTTCCATTTTTATTCATTTTGTAATTTTGGGATTCAATTCCTTCAGGGCATAGGACAGAAAATGGCAGAATACATAATAGACCTTAGAGAAGAAAGTCCACTAAAATCGGTTAGTATAAAGAATATTTAGAAGATAGATACTGAATTAAGTCAAGCACAATAATGCTTTTAGTGATTCTTTGGTTTTGGCATTTTGCAGCTAAGTGATTTGGAGAAAATTGGCCTCTCTTCCAAGCAGGTATATTACAAAAGCAGTATATAAGCTGAAAATATGCTTCTTTTGTCTGTTTTCTCGCTCAATGAAATTTTGCTTCTGAAAAATGTGAACGCAATTCTAACTTGTACCACTTTTTGGTAGGCCCATAATTTGTTCACAAAAGCTGCAAAAAAACTATTCGAAGATAAAGCAAAAGATTCAATACTCAGTTGAAGTCCCCTTCTCTTAAATAAAGGTTGAATGTACTTTTCTTAGCCTTTTTGTCTAAGATCAAGGGTAGTTTTTATTCTCTTAAGATTATTAGCATTGTACCATTGCTGCAGCTAGCATAATTTGTGTTCTTGTATGTTGTAACAACTAACAAGATGAACCAAAACATCTTTTACTCTGTATTGAAAAAAAAAAAGGTGTGATTCTTGTAAAACATCATATCAATTAGTTCCACTAGTCTCTTGCCTATGGTCAGCATTGTTTATGACTTTATTCAACTGAAGCTATCTGTAATGACTAATGAGTCCCTTGTCTCCCACGGAATTGAAATAAAAATGACAATATACAAAATAATTGAAATAAATTAACCAAACAAGCTAAACTTCGAAGTGCCAATCTCTAAATGATTTTGTTGGGGCAGGTAAAAGTAGGTCACAATGAATCATGATTTTAACAATTTTTTACGGTTAAAAAACAATTTTTATGTCAAGACAAAAAAGAACTAAACATATACAACAAGTGAAGCTTTTTTTTATTCCTATTAGGAGGATCGCAATAATAATCAAGCGAATAGTGATGTCATTGTATTTTTATACGCCAAATTTATAAGCCATTTATTTTCCCATAGGTAGGACCAAATATTGTCTTGTAGGCCAAATTCTCATAAAACGCTTAGAAATAACGTTTTTTCTTTATTTTCTTCTAACTCAAAGACTAGTGTTCTTATCATGCATTTGGTCTATTCTTCTTAATAGAAGTTTTGTTTGAGAAAGACTATTAAATCATAAATAAATGGTACAAAAAATATTGCTTCATTTTATCTAAACTTGAATTCTATGATTTACATAATTTTCTTTTTCTTTGTCATAAATATAATGTAAGACTGTGACTAGTGAGATGATATTATCTTCCATTCTATTTATATATTAAATTAAGAGAGACGTAAGTAATATATATATATTTTTAACATACTTTATTATACATATTTTATGATTGATTCGTTTATTAAAAATCAAAGTAAATATCTCATAAATTGATTATTTTAATAATTATTTTATTTTTAAAAAATTATCAATTACAAAAAATATATTTAAAAAATATAATACTTCTTTTTACTTAGTTTTCAAATCTTTCAAGGACTTAAAAGGAGATAATAAAGTCAAAAGTTTAATTTATTACTGAACTATCTGTCTTTTCATACTAAAGTGTTTACACATCCAATGTAATTAAAATAATTTTGTTTTGAAGTTTAAATTTTCACGTTAAGTTTTGTTTTTGGGTCTTTCCTACATCGTTTAGCTGTGAAACAATTCTTATTTAGAGATTACCGTAACTTATACCCACATGTTAATAGTATTTTATTTTGTCCACGTTACATACGATTTAAACCTTAACCATCATCCAAATAAATTAATTTTCACTCATTCAAGTTAAAGGGAGAAAAATCTTGACAATTCAAAGTTATTCACGTTACAAATTATTTACTCAATTTCATATCTTTTATTGTTTAAAGTCATAGTTACATACTAAAAAATCTTTATAAATTTATTATATTTTAACTAATTAAAATACCTTATTTTTGTTCTCTCTATTTCATTTAATTTTCTTTATCTTTTAACAAATTTACACTATTTGGTAGATTAAAAAATTAGATAATAAATAAGAAATATAATCATAATAGTTGGTTTAAATAATTATCCATAACATTAAATGAGGGTATAGTTACAAAGAAACATATAAAACAATAAAAAAAAAATTATAGTAGATGGAGTACTAGTAAATACCAATCGTCTAGGTTCGGGTTAGACAACTATTTATCCAACCCAACTAATTGAAAATGTTAACTAATTACGTAACTAACATAAAACACCACCAATAAACATTATATTTTCTCCATTCCTTTTTTTTATTTATTTATATTTTAAAATTTTAATTTTAAAATTTTAATTTATTTTTTAACTATACCCTTATTTAATGCTATAGATAATAATTTTAATTAACAACTACAATTATATCTCTTATATGTTAACTTTATTTATTTATCAAATTATGAGTTTGTAAAAATTTCAAAAATAATAAATAAATTAGGTATAGTTTAAATGAAGATTCTTTGATCAATATATAATAAAATTATACATTATTCAAAACAGTAGTTAAAGAATTAAAAACAATTTTTTATTAGAAATCGCATTGATGCATTACAAATTATGGAAAGTACATTAATAATATTTTTTTAAAAAAAAATTGACTTTTAATTCTTTAACTGATGCGCATTTGCATAAAGTTAGAGACAAAAATTAAGTATACTTTTTATGTACTATTAGGATAATTTTTTAATTGAAATTATCATTTTGTTTTGATGACTCTTACAAAAAATGCCAGTGAAAATGAACAAGTTAATAAAAATATAACTGTAATTTTAATTAAAGAAATAAATATTGTGTTTGATTGAAAGTGACAAATAGGGAAAAAAAGTGATAATAAAAATTGATTTTTTTAAATTAAGATAGTTTTTAACATTTTTCGATTTAAATGAATATTTTATATACTTTTATACATTTAAATATAATGCTTTTTATTTTAATCTTTTTCTTTATTTCATTCCTCCGAAGACGCAGTAAATAGGGGTCGCAGCTGCATTTAAAACACAGATCAAATTTGTCAAAAAGATCGTTTTCATGATTTCATTGTTAACAAGACACCTCAGCTATCTAAATCCATCCTATGAATCATCAATCATCAGGTGGAGGGACCAAGAATTCAACTTTTTTTATTTATTTAAGTTTTATTAAATATTTTTAAATATTCACTAAATTTTATTTAAATTTTATAAAAATATGTATGGTCTGTTAATATGACTAAATTCTAAACATTCATGACAACTACTACCTAGCCTAATCCCCTTGCTACATTGGATTGTTTAGTGTCACTTCATTAGCTCTTTTTTGTTCTTGCTTACTTTATTCCAACGCATCAAAAGAAAACAAAATTTAAGTGTCAAATTAATAATATTTTAATATTAATAAAATAATTATCTCCTCTTCAATATTCTCAACCAAGAAATCCCATTCCTATAAAGTGGATACCATTTGTCAACTCTTGTAGACGATCAAAAGGCAATCCTCTGCTTTTCTTTTAAGTGTGAGGTCAATTAGTGCGCATTTTAGGAAGTTTCGTTTCTTCTGTGACTAACAATGAGTATGTATATTTTATAATGTTTTATTGAGTATCTATAAATAATTTTTAATAAATAATATATTTATTATAAATAATTTTTACAATATTTTATAAATTTAAAAATTTAAAAATTATTTTATATATTTTACATATAAAATAATTATCACCATTAATTTTATATTAAATATATATAATAATTAGAGGAAATTAATATTCTATTTAAAAAACATAAATATCTTTTAATTTATAAAATATTAAAAAAATTACAATCATCAATTTTAAGTTCACATGTATATAGTAACGAGCATCTTTATTATATTCAAATTGTAAAAATATAATAATTGTTTTTTAATAAAACTTTACTATCATTAATTATTAATGCTAATAAATTCTTATTTTATATGTAAAAGCTGGAACCATTTATTAATGCTATTAAAAATATTTCATTTTCTTTATAATCGGAAGTATTTAACTTTTTTTTAAATATAAATAAATAAATAGTTATTTTATAAAAAGCTTATTATTTTTCTATGCCAAATAATGCATTTAAAAAAATTGTTCACATTGCTTCTTTTACAGGCCTGCCATTACAAAGATGTGGTCAATCCATGATCACGACGTTGAATTAGAAAGTGATGGGATCTACAACAGATAAGAGAAAAAGGATATAAATATGATATGTAATAAAGAAAAAAAGATATTGAAATGAGTATAACAGTTAAAGAGAAAGGTAGAATTGAACATCTGAATTAAAATACCTTTTTTAAAAATTGAATTAAAATTACCTTTAATTATCTCTTTATATTATTTTTAGTATACTTTCAATATACATGAAATAAAATGTAATAGTAGTTTATAATAATTTAAATAATAAAAACTGAAATTTAAAGTGTGTAAATCAAATTTTCTCAGATAAAAGAAAGCCACTGAACTGAGTCCATATGGATCCATCACAATAGCTGCAGAAATGCGAAGATGGAAGTGAAACGCACAATCTTGAGCCATTGGGAGAAGTAAAAGGGAACCAAACAAAATTAATCGACCTTTTATGAAAATAAACTCAAGCAAAAAAATATCAATAAAAATAGAAAAATTTAGAAAATTACTTTATTTAATAATTAAAAAATTATAGGAATAAAAATAGAAAAATTAGAATTATTTAAAAAATTATTTATCCACTAAGGACAAACTCAATAAAAACTACACGTCGTTTAAATGCAAAATTCATTGCCACCGTGACGGGGGTGAAAACTCAACGCTTGCAACATAAGGAAATAAGCATGAACATTACTTTCTTGCTTCTCACCAATATTTATAGTATTACATTAATAAGCAGAGACTGATAATTCAGATTAGCTGAACTTTATACAAAAGCAACCAAACATTAACAAAAGCAACCATGGCTAGATACACCCATCACAAATCCAAAACATTGGAACTTGTTAAAGAGTAAGACATGACCACTTTATTCTAATACTCCGAAAGGGTGTCTAAACTAAACACCTGAGTACACGAAAACACACACATAAAACATACATAGTTTAACTACTTATAAAAGTTATTATTCCTGCCGCTAATGGGGGTAAAGATCGTCTCTGCTTGAAGCTTTCACTTTGCAACCTCATTTGCAGGTGCAAGGATTGCAGGTGCAGTTTGCTCCACATTTGCAGCCATCGTTCTCAGCACCAACACCCATTTCAGCACCTTCAAACTGAGCCTTAGCAGGAGCCACTCCCATAACCAATGTCTCGGTGGTTGTTTGCTCTGTGTAGCTCAAGTCTGGGTACATCTTGCACCTGCAAAACAATGAAATGAAAAATCTCAGTTGAATTGACACAACACAAACTCTAAAGTCCGAGATTTCAGAATTCCCACAAACATTTACCCATGAAACAAAAACTTCAGCGAACTTCTAAGGCACGTGAGTTAACTAAAAGAGTATCTTAAAAAAACCAAACAAAAATAAAAGAGACCCTCAAAGTTGTCAGAATTTAACTCGTAGAAACCCATGTAAGATAAAACACAAAGTATCATTTTTTTTCACACGATTCAACCCCCAAAAGCCGATCAAACCAAGGAAAAAATTCCCCGTGAAAAGAGACATTTTCTGTAAGCGCAAAACAAAAGGTTCAGGTGATCGGAATTTCGCCACGTAAGAAAATAAAAGAAAGGTTTTTTTTCATGCAATTCAACCAAAAGGGTAAGCAAAAAGCCGATCAAAACTCCAAAGAAGAAACTTTGGCAGAAAATCTCCATTTTCCGAGAAAAAAAATCGGGATATAAGAAAGGCACGAAATTCTCACCCTCCGCAGCCACTGCCGCACTTGCAGCCACTGCCGCAACCACAGTTACCACCGCAGCAAGCCATTATCAGGTGAGAAATTCGACAGAGAAGAGAATTGGATAACGACGAAGAACAAGTTACAACAACTATCACGCACACCAGAACGAGTTTCTTGGCGAAGTCATGACCCTCATTTATAATGTGATCGAGGGAGAGAGTGTGAAATATCACCGTACACGTGTCACAATCCCCAGTGTCTTTAATCGGGTTGCGGATCTTCTCCCACGTCGACGTCGTTTTCATCGCTCGTCTTTCTCTGGAGTTATGAGGGGTTTTCTGGTATGTTCAAAAATGTGTGTTTGTTATCACCGTTTGATGAGATATTTGATTATGGTAAAGGGAACCATCAACAGTTGAAAATTGATGGGATGGAAGGCAGTAATAGTAATATATCTACCATATTTGTCAACTTTTGCCACTCATTCAGTCATTCTCTCATGTTAATCTCCTTTTCTGGTTTTCATTTTCTAATGTCAATATCCTTCTGGGTTTAACTTTTCTTATTTTAATAAAATATGTGTGTATTTTGAAAGGTCATGGTATTTTAATTTTATTATTTTTTATTTATATATTAAAAATATCTTTAGTGACAGTCATTTATAAAATAGTTCATATATTTAAAAATAAGTTATATTTTAATTTTTATATAAATATTTTATTATATTTTGTTCATTGTTATTTATTTTTTTCTTTATTATTAATGACATTAATAATATTATAATGAAATAAAATAAAATATTTATGTATAGATTAAAAAATTAATATTTAAACAAGTGTTAGTTATAAAAATTAAAGATATATTTTAATATAAAAAAAATTGGTAGATTTATCTTAAAAAAATAAAATAGACTATCAAATAAAAGAATTGTGAATTTATAAAAACAGAAAATTCATATTTTTATTGTTAGAATTTAATGATAATTTTTTTTATAACGATTTAAAAAAGTTAGATATGTTTAAATATATTTTTTACAAAAAAAATACTTAATTAATAAATAAAATAACATAAAAAATAATTAATAAAACTTTGAGTTAATACAATAAGAATGAATTACTTATATATGATAGAAAAGTTATAAAATTTAAACTTAATTTTAAAAAATTATTTATCTTTAAAAAAATTCATTAGAGTGCATGAGGTTTGGAACGCAAGAGATATATGTTTTTCATATATATTTTATTAAAATAATATAAAATATTAAAAATTATTATATTAATTTTTTTATTAAAATACTTTTTTATTATAATAATAAAAATATTTTAATATAAGTTTTTTTTTATCTTTTCTTCATTTAAACAAATAAATAAAAATTTTATTCGTTTAAATAATTCACATTTCTTATTTTAATTTTTATTTATATCTCAATTTCTAATTATTTTTTTATTTTATTTAAATAAAATATTAAAACTATGTTTAGATATTATACTTAAGAAGAAAGGGAAGAAGTTAACGAGGTTTAACTCATTTTGAAAGTTAACTAATTAAGTAGAGAGAGATTATAAAGTTTTTTTAAATTCTCAAAACTCTCTCTTAACGTTAGTTGTTTTAGTTATATGAGATTTTTTATTCTCTTACTCTCTGGTATAAAAATTTTAATTTTAACAATATTAATTTATAGAAAAAATTTATTTTATTTTTTTATTTTAAAATAATTTTAAAAAATATAAATAAAAGATATAAAAAAATAATATCTTTTATAATTAAACATTTTATTACTTTTCTTTTTAATATTAAACATTCAAATTATAAAATTATACATATATTTAATAAGATTTTGTTAATCTTAATCTTTAAGATAGAGGTTAAACAATTAATAATAGTAAAATTTTATTAAAAAAATATTTATTATATTTTTATAACTTTAATATAATAATTATATAATTTTTTTATAAAAATTTGTTATTTGTGAATAATTAAATTCAACTTTAAAGTTGAAGTTAAAAAATATTATTTTATAAGATAATATTATATAACTATTAATTATAAGATTAGTTATTAAAATTATTAATAATATATAATTAAAAAATATAACTTGCCTGCTGTCGTGCATGAAGCAAGAAGTACATGCTTGTTTGTTGACTTTCTTATAATGTTTATAAAGTTCTTGTTTTTCTAATATATTGATTTGTAAAAATTAATACATTATTACAAGCATTTTTCTAATCAAACACGGCGTAAGGAAAGACAGTTGATAAAAGTGGGAAGAAAGGGAATAAGTATCTATGCACAGGATCTCAACCATTAAATTTAAACAAAAATATTTTAAAAATAATAAATATGATAATAAATAATTATGATTCTGGTGCGATGCAAAATTTACAGTAAAAAAAATCCAGGTCTAGGAAGAAAGGATGTCAATTTTGCATTTGTAAGCCAAACACTAATTTTTGTTTCTGTTTGAATGTAAATGAGAATTTATTTTTTAATTTAAAATTAAATAAATTTATAAAATGTTTAAATCATGGATTTTATTTTTTATTTTACACATTTTTATATGTTAGAACAGTTAAATTTTATAATTTATTAAATGATATATACTTTACCAAAATATAATTCATTTAAATAATTGTACTCAGTGTATATTAAGAGTTTTGTTAACTAATATCTTAGAAATATTAGTTAAAAATTAATAAATAGTAACTTGCTATAAAAAATCATATAAATGAATGTACTTTTATGTTTCATAAGAAAATATTGTTATTTTTTATTCTCTACTAAAATATTAGACATGGATGCTAGAAACATGAAGAGGTTTTGATGGTTTTGATGGGAAAGAGTTGAAATGAAGGGGGCTTCATAATTTTTTATATACGAATAACAGTATCACATTCTTTCTAATACATTTCTAATTATTAGTTAAAAATTATTAAAAATAAAAAATAAAAATAAAATTTATATAATTTATTCAACCATAGAAATTGTGTTATAAAAGTGTTACAAAATATATTACTAACATTACATAATTTTTTATTTAATAAAAATTTGCTTAATCAAGCAACTGTACCCGTTAAACTCTTAATACCAGCTAGTTTTAAAATGCACGATTCTTAATAAACATTAAACTATCACAAATAACGATTGTAAATTTTATAAATTTAGTGTTTTTTATTTTTATTTTATTTTATTTCTGAATTATGGCAATAAAATTTATCATAATTTGTAGCATAAAAATTGACACAATTAACAAATAAAATTAAAATAAAATAAAAGATTGTTATAAAATTAGATAAAAATAAAAATAACAAATAAAACTATAAGACTATATTACTAATTTTGTCTTCAAATAACAACAAGTTAATTGAAAAGTTAGCCACATAAAAAATCCCCAAAATTAGTATATACGATTCGTGTCAATCTTGTTAAGTGTAAAAATTATCCAAGGCATGCTTGTTTACATTAAAAATTATATTTTAAAAAAAAAAATGTATATGTTTGAATGTAAACTATGTTGTTAAAATTAATTTTGCAAATTTTATAACAAATAACCACTAAAATGTAAAAACAACGTTTAAAAATCTGCAATGGCAATTTTTTTTAATTATTTAAAAATATTAAAACGTTACACAGCACGTAATATTTGTAAAATCCAGATTTAAGACTTAGATTTGATTGTTGAGACATGACTTATGGGCTTAAAAACAATTAAAGTGGCATTCATGATAGAGACAAGGGTGTATTCGATAAAATCAACACCGAAAGACCAAGTTTATCCGCTGGGTACTTCAATGATTTTGTGAAAGAGCTCAATATAGTGTTAAATAATACAACTTTTACATTATATTAACTGTTTACGATGCTTGTCTATATTCTCACATCTTTAAAAGAACAATTTAAAATGTTAGTTTTTAAAATTATTAATCGTTAGTCAATTTAGTGTTTAACACTAATTAAAAGATATTAAAAATAATTATTAAAGTATTAATTTACTATGTCAAATCAAATGTAAATATGTATGTAAACTTTAAACGACACCATATTTGTGTGTATGTAATATTTTATTTTCATCCCTAACAGTAATTTATTATGTTATAATTAAATGCATTTTTTTTTGTTTTTTCATTCATAATTACACCTAAAATACATCTTTCAAAATTACTAAAAAATAAAGATTAATTTGGTTTCATTATGTTGAAGCTGGATTAGTTTATTGCAAATTTCTGTCATGAGTTCATTAAGCATACATTTGTGAACTTGTGTTTGTCTAGTTATGAAATTAAATATTCATGCACAAAAATGAATAGCCTTAAAGAAATAAAAAAAAAATCTTACCCAATTTTAAAATAAGTTAATTTAACTTAAAGTTTTGAAAAAAAAAAACTTATTTCATAAAAAGAAAATACAAAATAACATTATTTGAGTCTACATAAATATTTATGTGTCACTTAACTTGATAAATTAATAATCAGTTACTTACTTTTAGAATATTCTAATATTAAAGATTAAAGTTATTGATGTTTAATATTTTTAAAAACTAAAATATTGAAATAAAATATTGACATGAACCAACCTCTGATACCGTAGTACAAGTTAGAACTAAGCGCAAGTAGTTGTAGCAGTCTTTCGGTATAAATTTAGATTTTTTTTAATAATGGAAAGCTTATTTTATTAGTTTAATTCTTTTTCCAATAAAATAGTTAAAATAGATAATTTTTAATATCTCTTTCTCTACAGTTTTTTATGTCCGAAACATGGTCAGTTGTAAAAAAAAATTAAAATTATAGCATACGTTATTTACATAAAACATTACTTAAATTTTATTTATACTAAAACTAACATAAATATCTTTAATTTCAAAGAAATAAAAGTTTATTTAATTAACGTATAATATATTTTTTATTTTTAATAAAAATATTTTTCTATTAAAATATATTTATAAACAACTAAAAAATTTAAAATATTCGTTATATTTTTAATCTCAGCCGTTTGTTAAATATTGAGTTGATTAATGAAAAAAATAATAAAGAAAAAGAGAAATTTATTTTTCAATATATAAAATATATTTAATTTTTTTTATAAATATTAATTTTAAATAATAAAAAATTAAATAACATAATATAGCACAGATTAATAAGCTAACCCTCTACTCCTCACCAACTAA